CTTTCCGAAGTACAACTCCCGTTCCTGGTACTTCGGAAAGTACCAAAAAATATACTTGTACCCCAAGTAAAGTACAAGTTTTTTAAACCTACTGAAGTTACATTCTACGTTAAGTACATTACACTTTACGTTGCACGTCAAGTATATTGCACTTTAAATTGTACTTAAAGTACTTTAAGTACATCGGACAATGTACATATTTTCCAACGCTGCATTTAACACGATCGTATTTGTTCTTCTCGGCAAAAACAAGTGTGAATGACCACCAGCATGATGACGCCATGTGGAAGCCGTGTATACTTTCAGGTGTCATCATGACATAACAGAAGACCTCGAAATGATATGATACTCGTATCCACACTTCAAGAACCGTAGTGAAAAAAGTCCAGCTCCGCGCGGAACACTACTAATTTGCCCGTTCCTGCGTTGGACTAAAGGAACCATCAAACGATTTTTCTCCTTTCGCTAAATGCTACTTAGCATCACTCGCTAAATTTAATAACTTAATAAACTTGCCTTAGTTTTCCTTTCTAAACAATGGCAGTCGCCCCAAAAATTCGAGAAATATGAACATCGTTCATCCCCTCAACTCGGAGCCCGAAAAGGCGGCCAGGTGGCCTGGTCCCTATTCGCGTTGAGACGCTCGCTAGGGGCGCTTGTGCACTCTCAAGAAAAAAAGGGTGTAAAAGGGTGTATTGTTACACCCTTTGTCCCATATAATACACCCCAAAACTTCATTTCGACGTACAGAGCCCTATAGTCGAACAGACGGCCCCAAATTTTTCGAGGGACTTCATAACAGTGCGATATAACTTTTTAAATAGCTAAAGTCCTTATCAAAGACCACAGAAAGAAAACATCGAGTTTTTACAGTAGGGCCAAGAAAACCTCGATTATTTTTTTTGTCAGTAAAACGTACACTAGCTATTTTAATAAGTTGTACTACGTGGCTGTCAAGCCCCTCGTAAATTTGGGGGCCGTCTGTTCGTCTGCAGGGCGCTGTACGTCGGATTGAATCATTGAAGTTTGGGGGTGTATTATACGGGACAAAGGGTGTAACGATACACCCTTTTACACCCTTTTTTCTTGAGTGTGTTTTCCTCACTATGGGGGTAGTGCACGTGCTACCAAACGCGATTATTTTTAATTTTCATAGCGCATAGAAGCTGACCATCGCACGTGCTTGCCCCAGCAAAGGAAGTGGAAGTATCCTCATTCTGGGCTGTGAAAAAATTCCCCCAGGCGGCGATACCCGAACTTCTCGCCGCGCTGGAGTCGGCAAAGTAGAAAACACGTGCTGAGCTTCAGGCATTGTTATAGAGTTCGTCTATTCTCATCACCGCAGTGGTTGCACACGAGCCACTACCCGAGTGTCCGCCGAGGCATTGATAGTTACGAGCCGAAGTCCAGTTCTCACGCAGTTCTCGTGTTCAATCCATGAGCCGCGCTCGACTGTCGTCAGGCGGGTGGTTTCGATCCAACGTTATTAGATTAGCTCGGTTACGGAAATGCTCACAGACGCTGCTTGCACGAGCAGTACCCCCCCCCCCTCCCCCCCCCCCCCTCATCGCCTCCCGTCGCCCGACACGCCGGACGGCTGCTACGGTAACTGCAGTGTATTCTATGGAATACATATGTTTCGAAACACAGCGTATAGGTGGCGTTGAAGGTCTGCTCTATAGAATACGCAGTTATGAAACGAAAATCTAGATGGCGCTTTGAACAACGGGAGGCGGACTGAAGTGACTGAGGGGGGGGGGGGGGGGGGGTATTCCCTCTGCAGGAGTTCCACAACTGAGGTAATCTAGTAATGTTGTTTCGATCCCACAATCACGACATCGAGCTTTGCGAAGGCAAGACAAAAAAAAATATATATATATATATATAGTTTCTTTTTATTCTCGCAATTTCACCGCGACAAAGAAGCTTCTGTCTGAATCAGTTGCGGTCTGTGCGAGCATATACTTGGGCCAGACTAGGACCAGTTCGCCACCACGAAATCATAAACATTCCAACCTGATATTGTTTCATGACTGCTTCAAGATACGTGAAGATGCATCTTAGAATAGCTTTGTGTTATTTCATCAAGACGTACGCTTTCACAGGTTTTTTCGCTAATTTTGACAACTCCGTTCAACCCAATGGGGTAATCCTAAAACGCAATATTTACGTTTTATTAAGTAAATATACACCGAAGTTAATGTAAAAAAAAAATAGCAAAAATCCTTGGTTTACGAACTATCTTACAAAATTGTTAAATAGGAAAAAAAATAAAACACGTCTCTTTAGGAAGGCAAAGCTCAAGCATTCACCTGAGTCATGGAATCATCATCTCGAATTTGCCAAGGTATATAAAAGCAAGGTGAAGAAATCTAAAACAAGTTATTTTGAGCGCGATCTTTTGAATGCATTAAAAGGTAATCCCAAATTTTTAATGAGAGATTAGTCGTCCGTCCTAAGTGTGTGTTTTATTCCTTCAGCGTCAGTAGTAGTGTTTAGGCCCATTATTTTTCCTAATATACGAGAACACCCCCTACCATGCTCTTTTGCTTTATCTGTATGCCTGTTCGCGAATGACTATTATAAATTGTGACAATTTGTCTCTGCTACAATCTGATCTTGATAACGTTTCCCGCTCGGGAAAAAACATGGCAAATGAATATTAGCGTTTCAAAAACAAACGTAATAACGTTTAACCATAAAACTCATCTCCTCAATACACTGAACTCAACCAGCATAAAACAGGTGCAAAATGTTTTTGAGAATGTGACCACTTGTGCTCCCGTGCCTCTCGGCGTTTCTTACATTTTTTTTTTTTAACCGCCTACATAATGGCGTTGTCCAAACAATGATAATAATAACTACTTCGTGCATCGCATGAATAATGCGCAAAACGTCATTTTTTTTTTTTTTTTTAATTCCAATGATTACAAATTTACAGCCTAGCACGGGCATGGTCGTCGCTTCGGAAAGCGAGGAAAGCACGCGCCATACGCACGAACGCTGGAAATTGCCCCGGGCTGGGGTGATGCTGTGTTCGGCACTGCACCTGCGCGGACGTCTGCGCTTATACCCTTGTTACACGGGCACACTTAACTGCGGTTACGCTAAGCCACAGTTAGCGCACAATACTTGCCGACAACATTCTGCGGCGATGCAGTCAGAGCTATGGACGAACGTGCGCTTGCGCATCTTGAGCACCCATGAAAGCACTGCACGCGCTCTCTTCACTTCTTTTGAAATAGCTGTCCGAGGGTATAGTGCGGCATCTGTGCTGCCACGTAACCGCAGTTAAAGCTGAGTTAACCGCGGTTAAGTGTGCCCGTGTAACAGGGGTATTAGAGTATCGGCACTCTGTTCCCCGACATTGTTGTGGGCGCCGCCATTTTGGTGCTTGTGCTGAGCAGACGCAACTGCCGATCTTCATGAATACAAAGTGCGACTTCCTCAGCATTAGATTCGGTGTTTAGGAAGCTAATGTAATATTGCTTTGCTCTGTCGCGAACTGTCTTAAACATTTCTGGAAGGCGGAATAGCGTTTCCTGTGATTTCAGATAAAGCTTCAGACAACTGGCAACCATGATTTTAAGCCACAATATGGCCAAGTGTCGTTACTCTGAAGCGCAGCTTATTTAGTGGCACTGGTCTGACCATAAAAAAACGCTGACGTTTTGCATCCCTATCGGAAACGAGCGTTTTGAAGCATAGAGATCATACATACTTTTTGCAGTCTTTCTGATCACGTGATCAGCACGCAGGAATCCTCGTGTACGCCTTTTGCTTTTGCGCTGTCCAACTTAATTTTCTTTTTATTCCATTTTTTTTTTGTTATTTCTCGGGACGCGCTTTGATAATTATCGCATTGTAGTCTTCATTGTATCACCGTTGGTATAGGACGCCTCTGTTGATTTCTCTGTCGCTGCATCGATAATCCGATCAAAGAAAGAGAAGGAAGACCTTAATTTATATTTACCACGGAACGTTTCTCACGCGATTCATTTGGCCTGCCGTTTCTTTGCAGGGATCGTAAGTTTGCTTTCTTGAAGCATTGCTCGGGGTTGGGCTTGATCCGATAAGATGTTCATGCAACGCGCGGAGGTTATGTTATCACTTGAGTGGCACCGCCTTGCAAAGCGTCGAAACAGCAAGAAAAGGGAGGGGGAGGCACAGCCTCGCCCCCCCCCCCCCCCCCTTTTTCCGACATTTAAAAACAAACAATAAAAACACTACAGAGGAGGAAACAAAAAAATCTCGTTCGCAGCCCCATCTCCGGTATTGTTCCATTCCGCTACCGCCTTCTAAAAGCGAGGTCTGGAGATGTACTACGTACAGAGCCGCCACTTTACCAGACAGTACTGGGCTTGTTGCATCTGCGAAGTCAAAAGTGCGTCGTCACGACGCTGGTCGTCCTGGTAACGGCGTTGCCGGTAACGCGTTAGTTTTTCCGGTAACGTAGTAACGTATTCGTTCCATCTTCGAAACAGTGACGAGTAACGTACAAACGTTACTTCTCTCGACGAGTAACGTAGTTACGTTACTCTTTACATCTTTTTCCCAAGACCCGAAAAAAAGTACACTTTTTTGTTCGTGTTTCTCAAGTCCAGACGCAGCCGACACTGTAGAGCTGATGGGACAAGTCACAAATGAGACAGCGTCGAAAAGGGCACCATGATGGTGTTCGTCGTGCTGCAGGCTTTGGCCGCGCATATGTGGCCAAAGCCTGCAGCCCAGTGACTCGACAGTTTTAGCCCCGGGTGACAGGCGCTGGACAGGTGTACGAAGTCCGCCGAAAAAGCCCTTTCTCGGAACGCGAGTTTCTCCCTTCCTCGAGCCGCCGCTAAACCGTTTTCTCACCTCCGGTATACACTCTCCGGAACGAAGGCGCCATGGCCTTGCCTTCAGAGCCCCAGATCTTGTAGCGGGTTGTGGAGAACGTTGCGGGACAGCGCCAAGGATCTACGAAAACTCCCTAACGTGCCACCAACGACTTGTGGACGCAGACACGACGACTTGGTTCCCTTGGCACCCCCCGTGAGCGGAGCCAAGAATCGAGCCCCCTTGGCGGCGGCAGCAGGAGCAGCAGCTAGCGTTTGCAGCGACGCCGGTGGCCAAGAAGGAAGGAGCCCAGCCCGGCGCCATGCTGAGTGCAGAGCACCACGAGGCACCCGTGCCCTCGCCGGGCCTCAACATGGAGCACGGCTTCATCCGCAAGATCGAGGCCAACCAGATCCACCGGCACTATCAGGTACCATTGCCACATGCTTTGCATACGCCAGCGCCGAGGCGTTTCGGTGGCGCCCTCTTTCCGTTCGTGACGTCGCGACCAGGATTGGCCTCGCCGTGACGTCACGCAATCCCGGCGAAGGAGGGCTTTGTAGGATAAGCTTGTCCTGCACTCTTTTAGCCTGCAACATACTTGCTGCGTTCGATTTACTTGCACCTCCTGCTCCACTTGGTGTACGCCGCCGTATTCGATTTACGAGTGCAGAATATCTCAAAACAGAACCGGACGTACATTGCCCTGCACTGTTCTGCACCGGTGCAGACTGGGACAGCAGGGACGGCGCCAAGGGGAGGCAAGGGGTGGCGGGCGCCTCCCCTAAACTTTAACCTGCCACCCCAATATAAACGAGCATTGGATAAACAAGAGTAGCAGTTTAGATCCCCTACATACCGGACGCTTCAATTTTTTTTTTCGCCACGAGAAGCAGATACAGCTGGCGATGGAGGCATGTCCTTTGGTAGCATCTGCAAACAAGAAGGTATCTTGCAATGCCTCTAGACAAATCAAGGCCGGGTGACATGATAAGTTCGGGTAGTCTCCGAGAAGAGCTTAGAGCAAGAGGGAGCCCACGGAGTGCCGACTGTCTTCTCCTTTCAGTTGGCAAGGAAAATAATCGGTCAGCTGGTTACGGAAGCTTTCACATGACGGCACGTGCTCCCCGCGCTTCATTACATAGCTGTGATAGCTAACAGTGATCGTCTTGGTCTATGCAGCTTGGACATCTTATTCTTCAAAAAACCTCTAACGCCGCTCTCATCGGGCTTTTTATTGTCTTCGTCTGTTGCCAAACCACCCGACTATCGGAGCCCGCCGTCGCCGGTTGTTCTTCACTCCGGGGTTTCGTAGTAGCGGTTCGAGGGTTGTGATGCGCGTGTGTAGTTAAAACGACAGATGCGGTTCCCTCCACGAGAGACATGGATACGGATCCTTCCACGAGTGGTATGGATGTGGTTCTTTACACGTGTGATACGGAGGACCGTATCCAAGGACGTCTACGTACTCTGACAGGCAAGGTACAGAAAAGTGGCGAAAAAAAAAAATGCAGGAAGTTGCATTGGTGGATTCTTAAGGAATGCGTTCCCCCTTTGGAAAACGCTAACAATGACCCTGTAATTAGGCAAATAAAAAGAAAAAAGTAAAAAGGCAGCCAAAAATAGAGGAAGCAAAAGAGAAACTCAAAACAGAAAAGTGAAGGGGTCAGTGTTAGCATTTCCCAATGGGGTGCGTTTCCAAGGGTCTGCTAACATGATTCCCCAACAATCCATCAATGGATCTTCCTGTGTATTTTTTATTTGCCTTATAGCGGTAGATGTATTAGGAATACGCCTGCGATACGTCTGTCTGCGGTTCCCATGTTTTCAGATCAAAGAGGACGCGATAAAGCGGAACGAGACGGCTAAACTGGCCCGGAGGGTTGGGATGCCCAACAAGTCCACCAAGCCCACTATTGAGATTTACAGACCGCCAGGTGGGATATATCTCTTTCACGTACGGTCATTATAGTGTCTGAAAGTGACTTAATATATATACCATGCGGAGCGCAAGTTCGTCTGCTTCTTGCACAAGGATTGCGGTGATGTCAGAACGCCGAGCTCTTATTGGCTCATCGAACAAAATAGTGGGTAGACTTAAAGGCATCTAACATTGAGGTCTACCCACTATCCCTCCAATCAAAACCAATCAGAACTCGGCGTTGTTCTGACGTCACCGCAACCCCTGTGCAAAAAGCAGACGACTTGCTCTTCGCATAGACACTGTTTGAAAACAAGTCTGCGTTGGCGTGCACAGCAAGTGTGGACACTGCGTGCGCGCAGAAACTAGTCCACGTGAAGCGAACCGTCTGTGCATGCGCGATATCGACAGCAGCGCCACCGCATTGGTGTGACGTCGTAACCGTGCGCGTCCATGTCTGTGCTGTAGTTGCATGGCTCAACTGTATACTAACTAACGTTCCTGGATTGCTTCTATAGGAGTGTTAAGTAAACGATCTTTAAATTTCACGAAATGTTTTTCGTTCTTGTTGAGAAACTAGTAGATGGCAACCATTGAGAAAGTATGGGATTATGTGCCACAATCGGGGGGCGGGTGCAGGTGGCGGGGGGGGGGGGGATGGAGGGAAGAAGGGGGGGGGGGGGGGGGGGTCAGCGTGCTAGATGTTTGAGAAAACAGCCGTAACAAAATACTGTATGAGGGGAAAGGGGGAGAAAAGGTCCCAGTAAAATGGACGATTGCGGGGGGGGGGGCTACGTGCCTGCCCCCCCCCCCCCCCCCCTATAAATCCGCCACTGGCCACCATAGACAGCCTTTTAGCATGCGTAAACCGAGAGTTCTTTGCGTTAGAACATATTTCTCCTATTTGAGGTGCTCCTCACACGACCTGGTGGGATTTAAGCCACTTTCTCTCAGGACAACTTTAATACCCTTTTATTTAACAGTAGCATTACTTTCTCATTAAAAAAACGCACCCTCTTTATGAATAGCTTAATTGTACTCCTCAGGATCGAATTATAACTCTCCACCGCGGGTGTAACAACGATGTTTTCTCCCTTTTTAAACAAATCATTCGGTGCAGAGTAACTCTCTCGGGAGGGGCAAAGTTATTCTCTTTGAAAGGGAGTAACATTGTTGTGGGCGCCGCCATTTTGGGGCTTGTGCAGAGCAGACGCAACTGCCGATCGTCACGATTCAAAGGTGTGACTTACTCAGCATTAGATTCGGTGTTAGGAAGCTCATGTAATATTGCTTTGCTCTGTCGCGAAATGTTTAAACATTTGGGGAGGACGGAAAAGCGTTTCCTGTGATTTCAGATAAAGCTTCAGATAGCTGGCCACCATGATTTTAAACCACAATATGGCCAAGTGTCGTTACTCTGAAGCGTAGCTTATTTAGTGGCGCTATAGAGTAACCTGTCTAACATTAATGATCTGACAAATTGTTCTGGAGCATGACACAACTCTCCAATCTGGGTTTGAGAGCGGTGTTTCCCCCCCTTTCGAATCATGTCATTTGGTGTCAATTTACCCTCCAGAGGGGGTAAAGTGAAACCCTCTTTGAAAGGGAGTAACCTGTCTGATATTACACATATTTTTGAGCTTTTCGTTCTCTGCATAATTGTCTGGAGCATGATTCAATTCTCCACTGAGGGTCTAACAACGGTGTTTTGTTCCTTCTGAATCACGTCCTTCGGTGTCGAATTACTCTTCCGGGAGAGGAAAAGCTATACCCTTCTTTGAAAGGGAGTGACCTGACTGACATTGCACGTTTTAATCGTTAGGCTCTGCATAAATCCCTAGAGCATCACACAACTCTCCTCTGTGGGTGTAACAGATAATTTTTTTTAATTACGTAATTACCCCCTGAATGAGGTAAAATTATACATTACTCTTCTTTGAAAGGTTAATGTATAAATTTAGACAGTACACTTCTTTTAAGTATCTTTTAATAATATGAATAGTTCCCTTGAGTATGGCTCAACTCTTTCCTGTGGGTGTAACACTAACGTTTCCTCCCTATTGAATTACGTTATTCGGTGTAAAACATGGTCTTCCGGGAGGGGTTAAGTTATGCCCTTCTTTGAAAGGGAGTAACCTGTCTGACGTGACACGTTGTCAAGTTACCGTCTATTAGTGATCTGCGTAGTTGCCTGGACAATGAATGGAAAATTGATTAGAGGTTCTCTTCTTTCATCTTTTCTCTTCTTGGTGCCCTCGGTGGTGCTCCTCTCGGCGTCTCTGCCCCTTTCCTGTTTATCCTTCCGTGGCGACCAGGTGTGAGGGTGTCTGGTGAGCTGCTCCCTCTCGCTCTTTTTTTATTTTTGACAACTAACTCGTCGGCTAACTGCATTAACTGATATAACTACTTGTGAGGGGTATTAAACATATAGTAGACAGAGTATCGTCAAGAGACATTCACTTGGCAGCCACGTTGTATGCACGGTCGTGAATAAGAATAACGGGGTATTATATTATCGGTAAAACGAGTATCCAATCGTTCCCCGCCGTCGTACCCCCACATAGCTAAAATTTCTGAGAGTTTCAAGACTCTTGGGGCCACTGCCGACCCGTATACAGAGGAATGACACAAAAACGAACATGGCAGGTATGCTTTTTGCGCGAATGTATACTGCATTCTACACTGCGTTTTTTCTTACGATGGGCCGCAGCATAGGTCACGAGCCATCCCAGCCAATAGATCGCTTTGAACGTATTACGTGACAATGCACGGGGCGGGTCTCTCCGTCCCTCCCGAAGGTCACTCGATCACGGGATTGTATTGGCTTACATGGCTCGTAGCATCTTCCCAGGCCCGTCGTTCAGTTAAACGTAGCATAGTATTACGGTCACCCAAAACAAAGCCCACTGCCAGTGTCACCATGGTACTTACCTTTGGTAATATGTCGAGATCGGTTATAGCGAAGTCGGTTATAACGAAATAGCGCGGCTACAGCGAAGCTATCACGATTTCCCATTCTCTTTTGCACCTCGTTATAACCGAAGTCGGTTATAACGAAATAGCGGATATATCGAAGTGATTTCCGATTCCCGTTGACTTCGTTATAACCGGTCTCGACATATAGTGTCGTGTTCCAGTATACATACAAACTAACAAATTATCCGAAATTGACGGCATGTCCCGAGCGATGTATTTTTGACTCGACTGATCTTCAATTTGAAATGGCCTCGTTCGTAACAAGTAGCTCAGCCATACAATCCGATCAACCTATCGAGGCGAACGTGTCACCGCATGATGAAGTTATGTGACGTCCGGAACTGGTTGCTCCCCTCGACCAGATGTGCCCCAGCACGCGGAAGTGGAGCATGTTCAGCACCACCATTACCACCAGCAAGGCGGTCCTCTGCTCAACGGCGCAAACGGTATTGGCGTACCCCAGCCCAACGTCAACAGGGCGGTGCACTTCCAGGTGAGGCTGTGTGCAATACCACCTAAAATATAAGGCCTGCGTGTGACGTCATCGTTAGTGGACCCCCACCCGCGCCCCAAACGGCAAACACGCTCAAGCTTGACAAGCGACTCCGAGCGAAAGCGTCTTCGGAAAGGGGGATTTCATTTAGCAAACTGCACTCGCCTCTTCGCGAAATCTTCAGCATGTTGCGTAGTGGTCAGATCATTATTGGCAAGATCGGAAAACATTGGACACTAATCCCGATTCGCACCGGAACTTCTCTCCACTTCCTCTAGCTGCCGTGCTCCGAGCGTGGATGAGCCCGGTTTTCGCCAAAGTTCCAGAAAAAAATAATTCAAATTTCTCGATCAAATCGAGGAATTTTCCCCTATCAGCAAAATTTACAACAGCAATCTCATAACGATAATAATCCCCGGAGAAGAGGAACAAGGGGGAGAAAGGACAACACACAAATCTGCAAACACAGCTAGGTGACTGGTACGCGATTGAAAAAATCTGCCTGGTCCTGGTACCGAACCGGGGACCTCCCGATTTTTAGTGAAGCGCTCTACCTCTACCAACCGAGCTAACCAGGAGTTAGATGTCAGTAGAGCACACGGGTTCTAACAGCTGACCATGCACTCTAACACCAACGACCTGCATTTTAAGGTTTTATGACCATGGACCAGTCGGATTTTTTTCAGTCGCGCACCAGTCACCTAGCTGTTTGGAGATTTGCATTTGTCTTTTATCCTCTTTTTACCCCTTCTCCGGTGATTATTATCGTTATTCTTGTCCAGCTCGCTCGCACCTTTGCAATAATTGCATTAACAGCAATCTGATCGTTTCATTACCCTCTTGTTGCAGCTTACATGATATATCGACCTGGTATATGGCCATATCTGGTCGTCAGAAAACCGTGCCTGATTCTGCTATCACGAGCTGTATCTTTGAATGCCTGGCCCCCTTACTAAAATAACGGCCATGATTGGCAGGACCTGCTTGCTGTGCGGAACGCCAGTTCGTCTGCTTCTTTTTCAGGGGTTGTGGTGACGTCAGAACGCCAAGCTCTGATTGGCTAATTGAAGGATTGTGGGTAGACCTCAAGGCAGCTTGTTTTGAGGTCTACCCGCTATCCTTCAATCTTCTTTCTGACGTCACCAGAACTTCCGAGCAAGAAGTAGACGAACTGGCGCTCCTCCGCATTATACTCCCTTCGTGCAAGAAGTGGGATGTTAAAAAGACTCGCGCCCTCCAGGTTCCCCCCGTGGTCACGTCGAGCAACGGGTTGAACAAGGAGGCGCCGGTGATGGGCAAGAGCTCCCTGCGGCGCTCCAAGAGCTTCAGCCACGACGAGCCGGCCCCTTCGGCCCTTGAGCGCACTAGCTTTCCCGCCGAGTACCAGGCCCTGCTCAAGAGGGCGCTCCACGGTACGGACCGACCTATTAGGAGCATTCACTGGGCGCCATATTTGTGGGTGCTGTCCAGAGCGCATGCTCAGAACTAGCCCACATTAACAGGCTGCTAAGACCGGCAATCTTGAGGGTGCGGAATTTGCACGTTACAAAAGAACTGTGGAAGCTCGCCATCAGCACGCGCTCAGCAGTCGCGCACACAGCTATGGCCGCCAATGAATACTTCCTATAGAATGTATTTTAGAGTGCTTCCAACTGCTCGATCAGGGTTATAGGCCGTAGATTTTTCGGTGTTTATTTGTAACGGAAGTTGGCGAATGTTTTTCGGTGTTTATTCTTTTTTTTTTTTTTTTATATCTGTGTATTTCGGGGAAGGGATACCTGAGACAGAAATAAAGTAGCGCGCTTGAACCGCCAGATGGTATTAACGGGCGAGGCATAAGTGTCAGATCGGGAGGTTCTACAGGCTACCCATCGGCGATTATCGGTGAAACGATATCATGCCAAACTAAGGGTCCAAGTCTAAGAGGGAAGACTATTGAGAAAAACAGTCCTCTAGCTAGAAGAAAACATTGCAGAAATCTGTTTATTTTTTAGCTTGTTTTGAATTTTTACCACGGACGGATGTTTGTCGGTGTCTTTCGGAAAGTCGACGGCCTAGCTACTAGCGGGTCACATTTTCGCTACAGGATGCGAGAGGGCGGGCGCACAGACCTGCATGTGCTCGCTGTCACTCGCATCTCTCCATGGAATGAATAGGTTGCATAGGGAATAGGTTGGTCCCTTAACCTCATCATCCCGGTTATATACCGAGTGTTTCAGCGAGGACTTTCGGAACTTCCCTATCGATAGGATGGATGGTCGAGATAAAACAAACTTTTTTCGGGAACAAGCTGCCAGCCATGGCGGATGTCAGGGATTGCAAACACACTAATTAGCAAAATAATGATCTGAAATTTCCCAATAAACTCCTTAATTTGTGAAAATAAACATATGTTTTCAATTAGAAACTTTCTGAACACCATAAGAAACCTCTAAATCAATCCACAAAAAAAAATCTTTATTTGGACGCGTTTTTTGGGTTTCGCTTTTTAGTATTATTTTTTTTTTTTTTTTTGCAAGAAGCAGACGGACTTGCGCTCCGTATAAAATCGTGTCCAAGCTGAGCTTTTTTTCTTTTTTTTTTTTCTGAACGCTGTAAAATGTTGTACGTGCCTTACATCTTTCTAAAATTAGATGATTTAGTGGTTTTCGATGGTGCTCGTAACGTTTCTAATAGAAACTCTATGTTTATTTTCACCAATGAACAAGTTAATGAGTGAATTTTAGTTAATCAAAATGCCAATTAATATGCTTTGTTGTCGCTTTGTAATTCTTGATATCTGCCACGGCTGACATTTTGTTTCCGGAAGGGGTTTCTTTTTTTCTGGACCACCCTATTTTTAGCGATTTATTTTTAAAGTTCGTTGAAACACCCGGCGTATTGCCTCTCTTCTTTGTACCAGCTCAAAGGACAGGACCCCTGGATTCAGTGTTGCTAGAATAACGAATGACTTGAGCAAAGAACAGTGCGAGAAGAACTCGTGGGAACCTGTCATTGCAGACCCGAATGCGCTGAGTTCGCATCAGCTGATGGAGCTGGTCCGGGCCATTTGCAGCAAGGCAACTGAGGGAATCCAGGACGCGGAACCGGCCGCACAGCTCTGCCTCACCATAATCGAAGTGAGTGGCCACTCCGATTCGGAAAATTAATAATTTTGGGGGGGTTTTACGTGCCAAACCTACGACGGGCATCTGGCACGCCCCAGCGGAGGACTGAGGGTTAATTTCGACCACCTGGGGATCTTTTGACGTGCTACCGAAAGCTCGGTTACACGGCACCTTCTCCGCAATAAGCCTCCGTCCTATTGCGGGCACCTCGGTCGGGATTCGAACCCGCCACCTGGGAATCCGTAGGCCGGCGCTCTCGCCTCGGAGCCACCGAGGATGTCCTCCACTGTGCAGCACCGAAGCAGCCGCTCATTTGCTGTTTCCCGACTGACAAAGTGGACAACTGCAATGCACAATGTATCTACAGCATGAAAACTAACGCTTTAAGGCACTTTAGAGTTTAGACGGCCCGCCAAAATCGGTTTCTCAGCGTATCGCACTGCAATTTACTATAGAAGTGCAAGCAGGTGGTGAAAGTTTAAAGTGGAAACATTAAACAATAAACTTACCTCGTTAAAAAAAAAAAAAAAAATCTTTTTGTCAGTTTACGCCGTCACTTAGCAGACGATGTCCGCGTACGCTGCGTCGAGGGAGCGCCGGCCGATTCGGGTTATGATAGCAGACGATCCCGCAAAAGAACCCGAATCGGCCTCTACCAAGCGTACGCCATCTGTCGGCACTCACTACGCGTGCATATATTGAACAGAACAGGTAGAACATGTGGCAGCGTAAATTACCCAAAACAAGATCTTTTTTTTTTTTTTTTTTAGGTATTGTAAAACACCGTAAGGGTGCCCTCCCCCGAGAAATCGCTCATCCCTTTTTTTTTTTTTTTTTTTTTTTTTTTGTTTTTCCTGGTTAATTATCTGTAACATATAAATCCCGAAACATCGCACACCAGCCGATTCCAGGCGGAATCGGGAATCGCATCAGCCGCGCGATATGTCACGCACGTACCGGTATACGTGCGTGACAAGAGAGTTCGCAGATGGTTCCCGCGTTTTTGTCCGCAATCTGCGGGCGCAATATCGGTTCCCGTGACATGCGAGTTCGTAGCGAGTCCCGCATTTTTTTGTCCGCGATCTTCGCGCGTGATATCGGTTCCCGTGGCAAATAATTTTGTAGCCGGTTTTCCGCGTGTTTATTGTACCGTAAAACACGGATCTGCTACATCTGCGGTTTCCTTTCCCGTGACGCAGGAGTTCATAGCGTATTCTTACGCGTTTATTGCGCTGTAGAAGTTGCCGTGTCCGCGATATGTGTCAGTGTCAGGTATACGGGTGTCCGTGTTTATCATTAAGTTTTGATAAAGGTTTGCTGTCTCATCCCCAAGGATAGCCCCAGCTCATGCTTTTCACCATTTATCTCTTCCATTTGGGTGATTAAGGAATTTTACGGTAGGTAAGTTAATTCCTTAATTTGTTCACAGCAAATTTCGACCACCTAGCTGCTTGCCCCTCCGTAGTAAATTGCAGCACGATACGTTTGAAAAACCCGGGGAGGGAGGGAGGGGGGGGGGGGGGGGGGGGAAGGGGGGCAGCGATGATTTTGAGCTAAAGTAAAAAACGTCGGGGTTCTGCTCCTTCGGAGTCATGTTTTACCATAGATTCAGTTTTTTCAAGCTTTCTTTTATGGTACACGAAATTGTGATTTTTCCGGATAAAACCCGAATGGGCAAAAGTTTACCGGCGAGTGTTTTACGGGTTTTATCTGATTTATCTGAAAACGCTGTACCTTTATAAAGAAACTTGGCAACACTACAATTATTCACGTTTGTCTTGTTTGCTTTTGCAATAATGTGTTTATTTTCACAGGCGTCTTTATACGTGTAGACAAACTAAACGTAAAACAGCATGATATAATACAATATACAACATATCAAATTAATAAAGTAGGTCAAGGTTGACGTTGCTACACTAAAATTATATTTCTGGACAAGTCCTAAAATAACTAATGCAAAATAAACAACAAACAAAACAACACGGGCAGCAACAACCAACCCAAGAAAATGGGAACTTCATGTCCACAAGTTACAACTAAACAGGACAAAAAGGATGAGAATTAAAACATGACAAATAACATATCTGACTGGTCAGCCTATTTTCGCGTTTTAAATGTGTACTTAGCATTGGACCTAGTTACACGCAAAAGCTGTATATTTTTTTTGTTGCCATTTTTGAAATTTATTTTGCAGCTGTACGGGAGATTATGCCGTATGCAGAGCTCTGTTTTGACCATTGGGACGTCTAGTCTGTTCCTTTAATCTGTCCACAGATTGCCCATTACCCCGAATATCCGTTGTACGAAGGCATTGCTGACTGAGGTAGCAAATACATGTTCCATGAGGTTTTACAAGTTAGGAAATTTAACCTCTTTCAAGAAACTAAGCCACAGCGTGCTCGATGTTACATCCTTTCTCAAAATCCCATGGGAAAGGCGTCCTTGAGAAAGCAGAGTTCATTAGCTCATCCCCAAACCCGTAGCTTCCTCCACAAGGCCGCTTTCCCGCGGGGGAGAAAGTTATATTTGGCGCATGTGACCCCTTCTCCACCAATGAGTTGGCGGCAAAAGGAAAAGGAAGGGTATACTCTGGCTACAACTGTACTCTGGCTCTGCCATGTAGTTACTAGACCTAACCAAAGTTTTGTCAAGGGCACTCCTAGTGTTACTCCTTATTTTACTATATTTAGGTTAGTGCTCCAAGTTAGCACTTTTCAGAGCACTGATGGTTCTGACCTTTTAATTAAAAAAGAAAACGGAAAAAAAAAAGAAAATCTGGCGATCGCCATTGTTCGTGCTATCAGTGTCGAGCTATGTCCGGGCCGCCGTATATCATATGTGGCAGCTGGTGGATGTATGCATAACGGCTCATCTCCCTTTAGCTTTAGAATAACGGTTTATCTCACTTTAGACGGGTAATTTACAAAAGTATTGTTGAAATTTGAATGCCAGTTCTTTTCTACCAGTTGTCCGCATTCATTGAACAAAAAGCACTCACGTGGGACGTGAAAGGTCAATGTCACCGTTCCCTTTAATTCATACTCAGCAGAAATTCTCTCTGAAATCAGTCAACTATTACCAAGGCTAGCGCATGTGAGCATGGGGACTGCCTGCCCCTCATAGGCTCCGTTTCATCTAAAGATTTTGCCCAAGTCACGTAAGCCGCGTGGGCCGAATGACTTTGGAACTTGAAGGTGGAGGGCTGTATGCCTAATTTCTCGAACGTATGCGCCCCTAAGCTGACAGAGCGGTGGCCTGCGCACTTGCTGGAGCCAGTCAAGTGCCCTTTCATCACCAAGACACCGCTCTCTGCGCGTGGGTATGGGAGGAAGCGAGATCACGTGGCGCAAAATGGACAAACGACTGATCCAACGGACACTTCAAATGGAAGGAAGCGACACAACTCCGGCATATGGCCTATTCCGGACCGCTTTCGTCCGTTTTTTTTAATTTGTTTGTTAGGGAATGCTTTTTTCTGCTTCTGTTACTGACGGAGGTGCGCACAACCACTCACACGCGCTCCATTTGCATCCATTTGGCCTCCGCTGTTGTTCAGGTCAGAGCTTCCCGAAAACGGGAAAGGGAGGAATACGAGGAAGCTAAGCCTTTTCGCGCGAGCCTAACCCGAACGGAAATGCTTTACTAATAAAGTATTTACCGAACGGTTGGACCTGTCCCGTCTTCCTCCCGTGGCGGCGGCAGCCGTGGCAGTACAGTGGGCAGGCACACCATTGGCAGGTCGCGTGTGACGTCAACTCTGACGAGCACCCACGTCTCAGAAAATCGGAGGAGGCGAGGGGGAAAGCCGTGCTACTTGCGTGGTTGATGTCTAAACTAAAAGCAGACGGCCGAACAGTAACTTTCACTTCATATGCCGGTGAAGTGTCGCTTGACGCCATTTGAAATATCCTGTTTGGGCATGCCTTCAGGAGTGAACGTAGTATAGTAGGCTGTGTTGGGCATGCACTGAAGAGCACCGTACGGGCTGACGCGCAGAAGGAAAGAGGCGAGACATTCCTGGAGAGCCTGCTGAGTGCCTGCCGCGAGTGGTTCAACGAGCGGGACAAGCTGCTCAGGCCCGAAGTGCAGCTGCAAGGGGGCGCCTCGCCTCGTCGCTGGACGGCCTACGTCTGCTTTCTGGCGGAGCTGCTCTTGGGGCTTCGCGGTCGCAACGGCAGCGGTGGTGCGGCGGGCACCGGGGGCCGCACAGCCAGCCGCACCCTCTGCCTCCTCATGCTCCTGTGCGACTGCTGCCACATCATCCTCAGGCCACCCTCCCTCTGCAACCCCACTGAGGCAAGCATTCCGATGCGTGCCCCTCGGAGGCCATGAGAACGCCCGTGGCGCGGGTTGGGCACAGCACTGGGAAGGCAGGCTGCACTTTATAGTATAGCAATTAGGGATGCCGCGAACTTTTTTCGAATCGAAGTTTCGATGATCGAATCAAGCGGTTCGAAAGGTTCGAAAGATTTCGATTTTTCGAATTGTTTATATCGTAAAATTCGACGGAGGTCGAATTTTCGAACTTGTTAAGCAAAGAAGTTCGACGCTTTTCGAACCGTCGAACTTATTACGCTAAAAAATTCGATCTTTTTCGAACTTTCGAACTTATTGCGCTGCGAGGTTCGATGCTTGTCGAACTTTCGAACTTGACTGACCAAAAAATTCGATGCATTTCGAACTTTCGAACTTATTTATCAAGAGAATTCGAAAAGTTTCGAACTTTCGAATTCTGAAAAGTCATAAGTTCGACGAACTTCGAACTTTTAGGGTAAAAGTTCGACGTTCGTCGAACTTCGAAAGACCGGCGGACGGTTTCATTTGATTTCAAGTAGTGGGGTACATTCGTAATTTTTTTTTTTCTCGAACTTTTACACGCGGTGCTGCGTTCCTTACGAAAGACAATGTCGTTTATTTCAATGTTCTGGCATGCTTAGGTTTAAAGAAATAAATCCCCGAAGGGTCGAGGAAGGACGACGGGTTTTTGACGATTATCGTTTGTGCCAGATTTGAAGCACGCTGCAGCCGGAGCTATTTATGGTAGATATGTTATACTTTTTTAAGAATTATCTATGTATAGTTTAGGTAAGTGCCGTCTTAAGATGTGATTATTGTTATTCAACGTGAGTTTCGAAGAAATGTCCAAACATGTATCTGCATGCAATTATGACCTAAACTTGATATTTATTTTCGTCTAAGTTGTTTGAGGTATCGCATTTAAATTAACACCACAGACAGTACATATCATTGCCATCTGCAGAATACAAAAATGATCTATTTATTGTTTTTTCACGTTAAGGAATACATTAACTCATGAGAGAAGATTTCTAGTAGTGTTCAAGTTCAGCACGTCATCAAAAGAAAACTTTTTTTTTTTTTTTTCGCTTCACGTTCCTGGGAGGTGTTTCTTTTAGCCTGTACACATTTTGGTAAAAGAAACTTGTTTCGAAGTTCTGAGCCTCTGAATAGGCAAGAATAGAACACTTCCGACGAATTCTTGATAGTTTTTTTTTCTCCTGCTTTTTATTCCCGCATTTTTTGTTACTATCGGCACAGGTGTTTAGGTCGAAAAGACAGCTTTGAACTTCCGAACCACTGAGCATGCGACGAGCAGTGCCTTCTGACAACGAGTTTCTAACAATGACCATCTACACAACCTTTTATGCAGTGAAGAGTGACGTTAGCTATACATATGCATAAATAATTTCAGATTAAAATAAGCTCGACCACGCCCTCTTTCCCCGTATTGTTTTCTTTAACAGTCCGAAATACCTGCAAGGGGGAGAAGGAAACTGAAGCCCCCCCCCCCCCCCCCCCCCCCCCCCCCCCCCCCCGCTACCCTCTTTCCCCCCGTTTTTCCTCTTCCGACGCCACTTGTATGGTAGAACGCTCTTCGACCTCGAGTTGTGTCGGCTTTTGTGCTTTTTGCGAGGCGATTCCTCCGTCCCAGAAAATAAACTTCCAGGACAATTATAAACTTCACCGGATCGGATTACTACCAGCGTGCAAGGGGTGGCGAGCTAGTTTGCCAGATCGCTGCACGGTTTTTCTGAGCCTCAACCTCCTGCTCGCCCCTGGCCGTTTCGAACTGGAAGAGTCTCGTAAAACAGTGTGTTCGTGCAATCACTACTGCGTGATGCAGGTTAAAGACCCCCCCCCCCCCCCCCCCCCCCCCCCCCGGGGCTGGCGGTCACAATTCTGCACTGGCAAATATTCTAGCACGTCCGGGACACTCGTCGTCTCATTTAATTGCCTGACCAACTTCGCAGAATCTAGATATCACACCCTAACTTTTCTAAACTTGATTTTGTGAAAACAAGCGAGTCGTGAAAACGTCATTTGAAACTGAAACTGTGGAAAAACTTGAAAATCGGACTTCGAACTTTGAAAACTTAAATTAGAAAGAAATTCAAAATCTTCGAAGTTTTTTTTTTTTTTTTTTTTTTTTAATAATTTAGCGTTAAAAGAGTATCGAAACCTTCGAACTTTTCGAACTTTATGCAAAAGGAAATTCGAAATCTTCGAATTGTTCGAACTTCATGTCTATAAAAATTCGAAGCGTTCGAAGTTTTCAAATTTTTTTTACAAAGAATTTCGAAATCTTCGAATTTATCGAACCTGAAGTAAAAAAATATTCGAAATAATCGAATTCGAAATTTTAGAAACCGTGAAAGCTTCGAAGTTTTCGAATTCGAAACTCCGCTGTGGACAAAAGTTGCGAATTTTTCGAAATCGAACCTCGGTCGGTACGAAAATATCGAAATGTTTCGAAATCGAACCTCAGTTCGCTTCGCAAATATCGAAACCTTTCGAAATCGAACCTAGGGTGGTTCGCGACATCCCTAATAGCAATGCATCCGGGATCGAGAACTGCGGGTGCGCGTGGTATTGCACTGCATCCGGGATCGAAAACTGCGGGTGCGCGTGGTATTGCACTGCATCCGGGACGGAGAACAGGTACACGCGCGCTGCACGTCCACAGTGCACCAAGCACTGTGGAGAAGCTTCAACACCTGCGGAAGGGAACTGCGCGGGTGTTGCTTCCCCGCAGCGCACCGGTGCTCGGTAAGAAGCGCGCTCAGCGGGAGCTAACTTGCCGCGGTCAACATTTCGAAAAAATATGAATATCGCAGTTCATCTCTGAAGCGAATATCGAATAGCGTATTATTCAAAACTACTATTCAAACGCTCGAATATTTGTGCAACACCAAAAACAAATAAAGAAAAATTTCAAAGATTAAATATATAAACACTTACCAGAAGCTGGAGTGCTGCTGCTTGCTCTGGACAGTAAAGCTCTAGTCCTAAACCTAACTATCAACCTCTTCAGTGCTGCCACACAATTTCCACACTTGATGTAAGGAATGAACCATTGTGACAAATACCAACAGCACAATTCCTTCATTTTCCAGATGGAGTGTCTGCGCTCGGTGCTGACGATTGCTGGCAAGGCGGTGCAACGCGACGCGCCCCAGCGCATGGCGGCCCTCGTGTCCCACATGCGGGAAGCCTTTGTGCAGCAGTGCCTGTCGGCCAACGGGCGGAAGGTGTTGCTCGAACTCCTCGAGCTCCACGCTTCGGGCTGGCAGCTGAATCTGCCTCAGAGGCTCTACTACTTCCCTTACACTAGCCTCGAGCACCGCAAGTAACCTCCCCTACTCCAAAACCTAGAGTAGTAGCGTTCTCCTCAATCTCCGCAGTTGGGCGAGTGGCCCCCTTTTTGCGTGACTTGTCCCTTCTCGGCCGTGTATTGCGGCATCTTTCCAAGCCTCCTTTACAAGCAGCAGCTGTGTCCTCTTTTACAGGAGCCCGTGTGTCCTTGTGTCCTTTCCCCTTTCTTTCTGGGTTTTGAGTGTGCTGTCTTTCCACCGTGTGCGTTCCGTGACTGTGCTGCGACTTAACCGCGACAGTCGAGCAGGTGGGCGACTGGATTCAGAGTGCAGTGCGACGTCTCGGCGGAACGTTGTCGGGACCACCAGCCTTCTCAAGGTTACATCGAAAGAACCGGAGTCTCCGGTTTCGGTTCGAACTGTGCCGCGGTCTCGACAAAACGTCGGGGCCGGCAGTGAAAGCTCCGGAAGCTGCCCAAAGCTACGTTCAAGGCTTCGTCGCAATAGAAAACTTCGTTGACCATCTACGACAGCTCCACAGACACACTTTTCGGAAGCAAAGTTTGTGTCGAAACATTGCAGCTGTGGCGAGGACACTTCCGAGCACTTCTGGCCTCGGTTTACAAAGCCGCTCATCGAGTCGCTCGGCTTGTGCTTCCTCTAAAAAACAAAAAATAAGTGTTTTCTTCCAGCACTCTGAATCGGTCCATGATATCTCTAAGTTTGTTCCTCTCAGTTCTGTTTCTGCCGTCTGCCGATCCACCTGTTTTTGAGTTGCCGTGCTACAAGTTTGACGACGAGCTACTCGAAAGTGACGAGCGTTCCGATTTCAGTGTAGCGCAGTCGGACGGTATGCCTGGATCTTTCTATTTGTCCTGGTGCTCATTAGTTCGGGCGCCTCTCTGGCGGGTAGACCGCGGGTCTGTCGTGTCGCGCAGTGACGCGATGCGAATGACAACGGCCAGTCAGGGCTGACCATTATTGTGTTTATGCCGTCTTCCATGTAGAAACATCTTCCATTGGAAGCATGTCGCTCAGTCCTCTCAAGAAGCTTTGCTCTCTAACGTGCAGTTTTTGCGTCAGATACCACCTCACTCCTCACCACTTCCTCCTTTTTTCCTCGCGACGACACCGAAATGTAACCGACTAGTTCGCGGTGTATTGAAGGCGTCTTCTAGTCTTTTAGTAAGCGGAAATCCAAGAAAGCAGCTATCCAAGTTGCCCTCTGGTTATTGGAGCAAACGTGAGCTGGTTCTTTCCATACATTGCCCAAGACAAGAGACAACAGCACTGTCAGTTTTTTTTGTTTTTTTCTATTTGTACCAGAGAAGAAATAAGCCTATCTCTGACATTTTCTGCATAATACTACACCATTTTTTTTCAACGTGTGATGTAACGATTCCTTCACACTTCGCTACTCGCATGCAGAATGGCGGAACGAAACCAAGTTTTCATCACGATAGCTCAAACGATGCGCAAGGGGGCAAACTCAACGAGTGTTTCTGGAATCCCCCCCCCGAGACATCAAACACTCCTGATCGCGCCACTATGCAAGCCCGGTTTGCGTTTCCTTCCGCAAGCTCCTTAAACTGCCCGACCTCAACCTGCTGATCCGTGCTAGTTGTAGTACTCTCTCCGAGTCGAGCGACGTATCCGAGAGCGCTTTCAAACTCCCCGCCCCCCAAACGTTCGCCAAAAAACAATCCATGCAAGTTGCGATCTAACCAAAGCTTTAGGTCGCTGCGCCGTCGCCACGAGGCAACCTGCCAGCACTTTTTCTTTTTAAACTGTCGTGCGTGCGTGTTGTGTGTTTGTGCGAGTGTCTATGAAAGGAGTGTGAATTGACACTGCAAGATACCTTGTTGGTGCTTCGAAAGTTTTTTTTTTCTCTGTGTTTGTGTTTTGATAGTTTTTGGTATGGCCTGTGATAAAGACAGTCACTGTGTTCTGGCTTTCTCTTTTTCGGGCGGGGTAAAATAAATGAAACGAGACATTTCCGGTGGCTAAACTTTTCTTGCACCACGACGTTGGGTCCGATAACCTCTTAACGCCCCTAGTCATTTTGATAGCAGCTCGTTTTAGCGGTTAGGCAGTAGGCACTACAGCATACGCTATGGAATCTCGTAACGTGCGTTTCTGGACTGCATACTATGCTAGTTCAGGCGCACGATGCCAACTTAGTTCTTCGACTGGAATCCTTTCATGTGTTAGGGCGCAGTTTAGGGGTAACTTACTACGAGCAATGAAACGCATAGCAATAAGACTGTACCATGCTCTCTCACTCTCGCGCTGTAAACATAAAAATAATAAAAAAAAAAACGAAAAAAAAAACAAGCAACTAAGGTGCCAATACTCTTCAAGCAGTCATTTGTAGATTACTATTTACAAATATACTGTTTTCTTTTCTTTTGTATTTGATGCAACTGAATAAACTTCTAGTATTATGGTAGTACCACAGGCTTTGCGGTGTCCTCTTTTTTTACTCTGCAAAAAAACAAAACAATGATGTCTTCTTCGGAGTCCATTTTACAAGTTGTACAGTTCTTCTCTGCCATTCTGGAAGCATTATTTACAACGAGGTCGTTGCTCCTACGATACAAGTCAGTCTAGAAAGAAGATGTTCTGGAACTGGCTTGCACACAACCTCTTGACTTCATCTGAAAAAGACATGAAGTTGCGTCACTCTCCTGCACATTTTCGTGTGCTTTTCCAACCCTAGAGATGCGCAAGTTCCAACTGTCTTAACTCCAGAGTTGAAGCAGTCAAATAAAACCATCTCATCATGTTCCTTTTCAATAAAACGTTTTGGCGTCGTGCAAAAATAAAATAAAAAAAACATTGCTCCAACTTGAAATTACCTCCTGCAATATTTTTGTTGGAAGGTTACAGAATATGCCAAACAAATTCAGACCTCTCACGTTCAGAAATAAGTTAAACACGATTAACTGAACCTGCTAATGACAATTGCTTGTATTTTAACGGATGGCTATATTTTTCATTCCAAAGGAATGATTCCAGCGAGCGATCGAAGATCAGCCATCGATGAGCACGGTGCATCGCAGGAGCTGGACCAATTGACGTCGCTTGGTACAGCACAAGCAAAGCTGCTCAACGGCTGGCGTGGCTATCGGCTTTGCCATTTGGCATTGTCGACGCGTTGCAACTTGGCCGTTTTCGGTTGCTGTCCCTGCTCTCGGCAAGAGTTGAATAGGCCAGGAGAGAAGGGGAATCCAATTGGGCAGGGCTCACGCACAAGCGGCGCAGCTTTTAGGTACTTAGTGACGTAACAACATTTGGTTTATTCCTTCTAAATAAGGTTTCGGCGTCTTTTCGAGCAAAAGAAAAATTGGTGTCTCCGTGGCGTAGCCAGAACGTGGTCGACATTCGGACAATGAAATATGCGTTAGAATTTCGTTCCGGTATCCCTTTAAACACAAAACTATGTTCGCTATATTGCGAACAGGGTAGTACACGTTTATTAATTCTTGCAAGAGGAAAGATGGGTAACTTCGTGTTACTGCAACAGATCAAAGCGTTTTGCAAGAACGGCTTTTCGAGTGTGAACGTGGAACACTCGTTCCAAACAAAGAAAATAAAAGTGAAGACATCTCAGCCACCTTGTTGCTTAAGATCACTGTTGCCAGTTACCTATTGCTTGACTTGAAATCACAGATGTCAAAACAGTCAGTGACGGAGCGAAAGAATCACACGCGAGTCTCCCAACGCATATCTAAAGGACGGTTTATACGCCCGTGACGGCTTAATAATTCCGGAAATGGCATTTTCTAATCAAAACTACCGCCAATTGCACCCGCTCTACACCAGCAAAAGAAATGGCGGCGTCCACGAAGCAATGGGCAATAACATACATTAAGCATTTTTTTTTCTTTTTGATTGACTCTAATTTCCCCATCTGTAGCAAAATGATTTGTTGGCCTAGTTGGTTAAACATTACGAAAACTAAAAAGCGCAAAAGACAAGGACAAAAGAGAGACAACACAGGACAAGCCCCATCTGTGCTGTAGGTTGCATGTAAAGTCCGGTTTGCACTTTTGTGCTCGCTTAGGACAGAGTTCTTGCGATTTCTTACGACGGGACAACGCGCTGGCGCCACCTTCGATGTGGTCCTAGAACTGCATTCCACCAGGGCGAAAGTTTTGCGGTATTTGCGTGATTAAACACATATACCGCCTTTGAGAAGCAGTCATTTATCACGCCGTCAAAAGATCTTAGAGCCAAGAATGAATTAATGATGCGAGAAAAACATGAGAAACGTACACAGACACCGAGTGTTTCACAACCTCCCGACACTCGTCGCGGCGGTGCAAGTGACACAAGGTGGCGCAAGTCGCCGCCCAATTCAAAGGGTTCAGCCGCAGCCATCTATTCATCTATCCATCGTCGTAAGAGATTTCAAGCAGTTTTAAGACGCACGGTCCCCTTGAAACCCCTCGAAGTCTCTTGCGACGATGGATGGATGGATCTATTTTATAAGCAAGTGTGCGAACCAGCCTCGAAGGAACGGTTTTGGATGTGCGAACTCACCGCTGATTTGAATGATGTTGGCGCTCTTCTGGTTGAGGATGACGTAGAACTCCCGTTGGTCCGAAAACTTGCCCACCACCCACCACTCGCTCGTCGTCTTGGCAACGAGTTCGCCAGCTTCTTCCACCCTGCACGACGTTTGATGGAACGCTGAAGTGCACCTGCTACGCCCCCAATCGATGCTTATACTTCGTTTCATTTTAAAGGGGTACTCCGGTTCTTAATTTGCCTGAAAATTTTCTAAACACACCAACAAACATAGTTAGAATAGGCCCCCCAAATATCGGTCCAAAGTAAAAAAATTTCGCGAAGTTACTGAATTTACACTTTTGGTCCTCGCCGCGTTTTTCAAAGCGAAAGTCTCTATACTGGCAAGAATGACGAAGGGACGTCAGGGGAAGTCTTTGAACTGTAGACTTTGTTCCCAACTGATTAAAAGCAGTTACATAGTGTCAAATAAATGCTTTGGAAGCTCGATCCAGTAACCTCCGCAGCAGCACAAAACAAATGCTCGGCAGAGTCTATTTTTAAAATTGACTGTCGGCTGGCCCTGCAAACCTGCCAAACACCCCCCCCCCCCCCCCCATAAATTTCCAAACATTCTTGTTATGTGACAATAATAAAGAATTAAGAAAGCAAATTTCTAGTAACAACTTACTCTAGAGGCTCTAAGCATCTTAAGAAAGAACAAAATTACGATCGAGGGCGGCCGATTCGCCCATTAAAAATCTAATCACAGATCGTGACATGTGCCGCTTTCTGTGCCTCCAAGCACACACCAAGGGGCGTGGTCGGGCGGAGTTTCCAAACAATCCTTGCTGTATTATGTTGCCTACACCCCAAGACTCAAAGTTTTTGATATAATGCACAATGGTGCCTAAAAACGGCAACTAATAAGTAACAGTCTATGTCTCCTCTCCCCTCGACCACATCTGCGACGTTGGCACAAGCACAACCACTCGTGGCTCGAATTCTTTTTTTTGGCTCTTCCATCCCTAGAACATCTCGGGAATGGAACCGGCTACCCCCATTCATCGCAACCATCGCAGATTTTGCCCGTACTAAGCATACACTAACAAGTTGTTGTTCATGTTCGAGCCCTAGTAACCATTTGTTTATTATGTTTGTACTTCTGTCCCCATTCTCCTCTGTAATCCTTCAACCCTGAGGGTATATTAAACAAATAAATAAATAAAATGACATTTGGAATCGACACACAATTAACTATTTTCATTGGTCAAATTTGATGGAGGTAGTGGGGACCTGAAGATGGCCCTCCTCTAAGACAAAATAGTGCCCGTGTATTTTTATGCGGAGCACAAGTTCGTCTGCTTCTTGCACAGGGGTTTCGACGATGTCAGAACGCCCAACTCTTATTGGCCAATTGAAAAAGATAGTGGATAGACCTCAAGTCATCTAGCATTGAGGTCTACCCACTATCCTTCCAATCAAAGCCAATCAGAATTCGGCACCGCACCATTCTGGCATCACCGCAACCCCTGCGCAAGAAGCAGATTAGATGGTCTCCGCATTGCTGCGAGTTTACTCGGATGTCCTGCCACCTTGAACTGGTCATTTTAATTGACTAAAGCCCAGCAGACAATATGCCATCCAAAACAAGCTTCTACGAAAAGCACTCGAGTGCCCCTTTAAGTTCACACACTTGCGACTGCTTACAACTGTCTGCCTTTAAACTCCTCTAAATCCCTTAAGACGAGAGCATGGTGGCGCCATCTGTAGGGTAGTCCTGGAACACCTGGCATCTCCGTACATTTCCTATTTTTTTTCGTGTATCATTCTTTCTTCCTTGGCTCAAAAAACCTCAGACAACGTTATAAACGATCATTCCTCCTAGACAGTGTGCACATTAGATCTCGCAAATGCCACAAAAATGGAGTTCTAGGGCCACCTCATAGACAGCGTCGGCATGTCCTCTCGTCGTAACAAATCGCAAGAACTCAGTAGTAAGAAAATACAAGTGTGTGAAAGGGACCTTTAGACTCTCCTAAACCACAAAAAAAAAAGAAAAATAATAATATACATTTGTGGTGCAATTGCACTCGGAAGAATCCCCCAAAGCGATACAAAGTCGGAACTGACTGTGCCAGGTCTTCGTTGATGTCCGCCAAGAAGCGGACCAGTTCGGAGGGCACAACGATGCCTGCCCGCCGCTCCGAATGCACCGTCGACTTTTGGGCCAGGTTCATCCGGTTGAAGTAGATGTACTTGCTCTGCTGGTCCATCGAAGAACTACGAGCAAGATGGAGCGGGTACTTTTAAACGAGAGACACCGCCAAGTACCCCGTGGCAATTGCAAATGGCCGTCAGTACACTTTTCGACGCGATGCGAGTTTTTCCGAGTTCTCGGGAATTAAGTGTGCAACTTGTGCAAGGCGAAACTATCCCCTCGTAAGCATTGGAGAATCGTCATTACGGGGGCTGGCACAAAACCCAAGCCTCCAAATGTTCTCAGAAATTATGACACGTCTATCAATGCAATTTGAATAGATTACAGCGCTACATTCTTCACAAACGTTCGGTCGTTTTACAATAACGTCTCCATTATAATCCAGACTAGTATTTTGGCCTCCGCTGAGTAAGACTGTCCATTCTGATACCATGTAACCTTGGGAAGAGTCGCATTTAGTTTCAGCTTGCCATAGACCAATAGGTGGAATCTTCGGAGTTGGTCCTTTAACGGACAAAACAAAAAATTCGGCAGAGACACCTAAGACTGCTTACGTGTAGGAAGGCGAAAGCATTCGTACAAGCAGCGCGCCACGTCTTCCTAACGCACACGGTGCTTCGGCAATGACATCAAGCTCCTTCACTGCGCGGGCGCGACGAACCCCGCCGGCCTCACGACGGCTTCTGTGACAAAGCATCTGCATTGCTGTGCTTTTCTTTGTATTATATTTCTGAGGCACATGCTTGACGACATATTTTATGACTATCTTTCGGGGACAACGCCGCCGCTTTTTCGCGTAATGGGATAAGTAAGGCTTTCGCCTTAAAAGTCTGTTCAAACAATGAGCTCGCAAACCCAAGAACCCGAAGGCTTCCCCAAAGGACTCTCACAGTTTTAAGTCTTACAATTTTAAGTACTATTTCAGCAGGTCTGAGCTAGTACTCATTGATAAGCAACCATGATCTAGAGTCCTCAACATTGCCAAACATCTGCACTATTGCTTACACTGCCTGTGAGCTTCTGCACTGCTAAACTGCATCATCGCCGAGATTGGGAGGGGCTCCTTGTTTATCGACTAAAAGGTCTACGGTTTCCTCGAGGCAAAAATGTTTGAGAACCAATGCATTAAAAGATTAACAGCCCTGTGACTTTTGGAGGCGACTCTAACGGACGCTCACTGCCCAAACGGTGAACAACTTACTATATCATGTATGAAGAAGCAAAAGTATGTAAGCAAACTTTTTTGTAGAGGCACAGAGAGACACGAGATCGGAACCTGGGTGGCGGCAGTGGGGAGGCGAGGGAGCATGTCCGCACAGCACTACCACGTGGGTATTTCGCAACAGCGGCTGCCGGAAAGGTTGGGTTGTGGGGGGGGGGGGGCATAGTGGGAGGATACATGGTTGTAGCAGGAACGATGCAAGGCAAAGAGTGCACTCCCCGTGTATCACGTCGGTTTTTCGGAACAGCAGAGACTTACATGGGGCAAAGGGGGAGCGAGAGAAAGCATTGCCATGTGGGAATCGATGAAGAGAGGGAGAGCAGTGCCTCTGTTGTAGAGTGGGGTTTTTGCACTTGTACATGAGTATTTTTTGTCGGGAAGGGGCACTAACAGCAACCGCCATAAAAAAAAAAAATCGAGTGAAGCCCCAACTTACAGACCAGACAGCTTTGTGCAATGCTTGCCAATGTCATTGGCGAGAGCCGTCAACTCGCTGGCCAGGTACGCGTCGAGCTCCTTTAGGAAAGGCTGCGTCATGTCGTCGCCCGTCGCTGCAATGCAACAGAGCTCTCGCTGCAGAGGCACGAAATCGTAACTTCTGAGATACAAATCCCCTTTACAGCAAAGCCAGCCCTCCAACTTCTAAGGGATACGTAAGATGCGTACACCAGCATCTGAAGCTTTAGATATGGTGCCGCTCAGGCGCTATTGTCTTGATTTGTCACGAACTGCTCAAACATTTCCGGAGGACGGAAGAGCATTTCTTACGATTTAAAATAAAGCTTCAGATAACTGGCAACAATGGTTTTAAGCACAAGATGACTGAAGTGCCGTTACTTTGAAGGGTAGCTTATTCAGTAGCTCTAAACCCAATGAACAACGATGAGACACAGTTCAAAGCACACACAGACACAGAATTGTTACATGCATGAATGGAACTTTTTATATACAGGGTCTGTCCCAAAACTTCCCGGAATGATTTTTTGTGGTCGGCAACGCCGCCTGGCGGGGTGGGGCTTCAGGTGGAGAAGTTAGTGGGGGATATAAGCTTCGAAACGAGACCGGTCTCAGTTGTCTGCTATCAGTTGCTGAGGCAGGTCACGCTCCGCGCAGAGGCATCTACAGCACCCTCGTCGAGAAAAAAAATGGACCAGTTTTTGGAGCAACGTTATGCAATCAAGTTTTGTGTGCAACTAGGTAAAAACGGGGCGGAGACGCTCGAAATGCTTCGGAAAGCCTACGGCGACAACGCGATGAAAAAAAGCCAAACTTTCATGTGGCACAAGAGGTTCCGGGAAGGTCGGGAGTCCGTCAACGACGACGACCGCTCGGGACGCCCGTCGACATCACAAACGGATGACTCGGTGCAAAAAGTGCGTCTCGTTTTGGACAAGGACCGGCGATTAAGCGTTCGAATGGTCGCAGATGAGTGTGGAATACCCAAAACAATCGTTCATCGCATTTTAACAGAGGATCTCCAAATGAGGAAAGTCTGCGCGAAAATGGTGCCAAAGGTCCTGACGAGTGAGATGAAGGAAGAGCGTTTGTTGAAGTGTCAGGAATTGCACGAACGCTTCGAAACAGACCCAGAATTTTTGGACAGAGTGATCACAGGGGATGAGACGTGGATTTTCGAGTACGATCCCGAATCAAAGCGTCAGAGCAGCGAGTGGCACACCACGGAGTCTCCTCGCCCGAAAAAAGCAAGGATGAGCAAATCGCGAATCAAGGCAATGCTCATTGTGTTTTTTGACAGAAAAGGTGTGGTTCACAGTGAATTCGTGCCACAGGGACAAACAGTCAACAAGGAGTTTTACTGTGAAGTGCTCAAACGGTTGCGAAACAGGGTTCGACGAGTCCGAAAAGAAATTTGCGACAACTGGATCTTGCACCATGACAATGCGTCAAGCCACACCGCGCTCATTGTCTCCGAGTTGCTGGCCAAAATGTGTGTGCCAACGCTGCCCCAGCCACCGTACAGCCCCGATCTGGCACCACCGGACTTCTTTTTATTCCCAAGAATCAAAAGAACCCTGAAAGGAACTCGACATGGGACGCTGGAGACGGTAAAAGCAGCTGCGACGACCTCACTGAAGGAGGTTCCTGTTGACGGCTTCCAGGGCGCCTTCAGTGATTGGGTTCAGCGTTGGCAACAGTGCATCGAAGCAGGGGGAGATTACTTTGAAAAGTTCTGAAAAGATTGTAAACTGATATTGAATAGATGATTCATAAAAAAAACAATTCCGGGAACTTTTGGGACAGACCCTGTAACACCTTTCTTGTAGAATGTCCACAGATAAAACATCTCTACAGAACACCTGCATCTTTGGCACACAAGTACCTCAACTACATTTACTGGCATTTGACGTACACGTCGTCACAGACATTAGGAGTAACCATAAGCAGCGACTATGTCACTCATAAATTGTTGCGTATGTTACACGAAGCATGTCTCTTATGGTTATGAGCAACTGGGCATGTCCTTGCTCACCTCGAACGAGCAGGCACAGTGTGGCACTGTAGGCCCTGAAAACGAGGAGGTAGCATTGCTCGCGGTCGGCCGTACGGTCACAATCGGCCGCACAGTCGGCTGCGATGTAGACTCGCTGTATCCGAGACAGGGTGGCTTCGTCATCGACCGGACCGTACAAGAACCTGCGACGAAAGAAACAAACTGTGAGAAATTCCCTGGGTACGAACGGAAACAGCCCACTTCAGACGGGACAATTTTCCAAGGCATTGTAACATCAGCAACATGGATCTCCAGCATTGATATGCACCAACTGCTGAACCTCGAATTGCTGCATACTGCCATCATCCTCCTTAAAATTTTCATTTTCCTGCACTGTTTAGACAAACAGTGATGCATTAATAACGCATTTTATACTTTGAAGTGAAGTGGAGAATACTAACTCACCTCTCAGAAACCGTTTAACCGCAAAAACACTCCCACGCAAACCACAACAAAGTTGAAACCCGTGATCAGTTATCATTATCACTATCACGGGGGGGCAGGAGGGAGTCGCACAAAAATACTGCGTCCCTGATTGGCCGCTGCTGCTTCTAACATCTGAAGCTGCTCGTCCATTTCGAGCCATACCCGATCCCAGCAAATCAAAGTTGCAGAGCAAAGTGCCAGGGAAAAGCTTGCCAGCAACCTTGAAATAGCCGAGAAAATTGCCCCTCCGAATTGGGCTGGTTCCTTTCCCTAACAACTGCCCATCCCCAACCTTTCGCGATTCTCTCCAAGTTTACCGTGGGAACATGCTCGGTATTTTATGGTATTTGCATCTATGAGGCGCACTCGCTAGTTTTCGAAGCATCAACGAAACAAAAAAGAGGGCAGACGAACAGACGACACGTACCTAGATTGCGACGTGCTGGCAGACTGCCGCGGTGACAGCGAGAAGCCGGGAAGAAGCTCCGATTCAACGGCGGTCTGAAGAACGCTGTGGACCAAGTACTGGTACAGAACCTGCATGTCTCCCTGGTCTAGGCCGCTCCTGATTGGACGGGAGAGACAAGAGGGCAGGTCACGCTCGTCTAATCGCTGGAGGGAAACGCTCGGAGTAACGGCAACCTTTGCTCCTTATCGTCAGATGCCGCCGTGTCGTTCGCTCGCTCGTTTGTGTCGCGCATCGTTCATTTACGTGCCGACGTCTGGGTATGCTGCCATTTCGTGCTGGGCATCGTTGACGAAAGATACACGATTCTAAGATGAGACTTTGCATTTGAGATTTAACGTTAGGAGGCTTTTGTAACGTAATACATATTTCTCGCAAACAGAGCAACAAAAAGTTCCTTGTGCACTTATAACTAGCCTGACAATGAGATGTATTGCATCCTATCTCTAATTTCAGCTAGTTCTGAACCTAATTGTGACTCTGATTTTTACCTGAATATCAACTCATGCTATGTTTGTTTTGAATTCTTAGTACTGACCCACAAAATCATTATCGGAATTAAAGCATACTAAAAGCGAAATTCACTTAATTTTGTGGTTAAAGTAGCATGCAATCAAGCCGAGCAATGAACGACCACCGTATCAAAGATACTACACACATGCAGCCGTTAGATACAATGCTAACTTGCACTGATCACAAAACGAAGTGCAAGTGAGCCTCTACTCACCAGACAAGCAAGTCATTGCAGAGGAAAACGGAATACTTGAGCTGCCTGAAAAAGCAAGTAGCCCATATACTGCTTGCCATCACTGCTACTCTCAGAGATCCAATGAGTGCCATGAAACAATACATTTTTCTAGGGTTCTGCAAATACTTGAATATTCGAATTGCAGTTTCGAATAATGCGCTATTCGAACTTTCCTTAGTGTTGACTGTGGCGGGCTAGCCCCGCTGAGTGCGCTTCTCACCGAGCGCCTGTGCTCGGTGGGGAAACAATACCCACAAAGCTTGTGGGCTCCGCAGGTATTGTTTCCCCGCGGTGCACAGGTGCTTGGCGAGAAGTGCACTCAACGGGGCAAACCTGCCGCGATTTTGCAAGAGTACTACCGGTCACAATATGAAAGGGAACAGTTCATCTTTACAGTTTAACGGCTCCCCCGCAACCTTCGTTAAACTTCGACCTGTCAATTAGTATGTAGTTTGGGACCTAAACTTTCCGTTCCAGCCCTCGTTGGGAACATAACGTGTTCCGAAATTTCTAGGTACATCAAAAAAGCGAGGAAGTTTGTTTCCTTTCACATACCTATAGTGCATGTTAGGCGGCGATGCGTTTACATCCTGCAATCAACATTCCTGCTTTTTTTTTTTTTTTGTAAATATTAAAATTGAGGAAAGAAGAGTTTCATATACCAAGAAGATATATAAATCCCCTCGATTAGGATAGCTGCAACAAATCAGTCATTTACATCCCACAGTTCCTAAATATATACTAGTTATGCTCAGATTAACCGAGTTTAGACGTGAACAAGTGGAAGGTTGGGAACAGCTGTCACGAGTTCAGCTGAATTTTCGTTTAAGCATAGTGCATGGTAGTGAAAGGCTTGGAGAAACTATTCCATATTCGAAAATATTTCGCCAAAACCACTATTCGCTTCGAATTCGTTTCAAACTCAAAATACAGTATTTGCACATGCCTACATTTTTTCCCACAAAAGGCTGCATTCCCACAGCATAAGCTCAGAAAAGTAATAAAAGTGATTTCTTAATCTCACGCTCCAAATCATTGTTATAAAGAATGTAACTGGCAGCATTTACTAACAACGATAATATATGATGGCGACGTTGCCTTTGTGTGCAATAACATTAAAGTGATTCTACACGGCGGTTGCGATAACATAGTGGGGCGTGTTAAATGAAAAGAGCGCTTACACGAAATATCTTGTAGACCGCCTCTAGCACTGCCTAGGCAGTGGCAAGTTAATCCATCTCAAACTGATGTGTGTTGTGCCTCTGCCGTCGACAGACCATTTGGACAGTGCAATACAATTATTAAGCTGGCACCTTTCCCATACGTCGGCAGCATCGATTACATGACTGCACGTCAGTACGATGCTCGTCCAGATTGAAACCGGCAGCGGCGGGGTTCAATTTAGAATCCCTGGGTTCTGCTCCGCAGCGATCCCAGAGTTCTGCTCTGATCATCCGACATTACAGTCATTATCTTAGTCTAGTGTGTTAGCTGACTATTTTGTTCAGGGAAGCCAGTTGGCATGCGAGGTACAAGATCTCAGCTTTGAAGAGTGCTTCAGTGGTGCGAGGAATAGCAGATGAAAAAAGTGCAGTCTTGGACAATGTCCGCTGTTACAACCGAGAGACACCCCAGGAGAAGTTGTATAGAAACAGAATAAGACCCTCGGTAACCATATTTGCCGTTCAGAAGGTAATACATTCATTGGGCACATTACCGCCGGAGCACAAAAATTAAAGAACCATAAAATACCGGGCAGGCACCCAATCAAACTTTGGGGATAATCACCAAAAAAATGGGGGATGGGCGCTTGTCCGGTCATCAATTTTACATACAGTCTAAGCTCATTACAACAGACCTGGTTACAACAGACATTTGGATATAACATACCGATTTGTGAAGTTTGTTTGGTTTTCCTCTACATACCATTGACTCAACTTCATACCTGCATACAACATACTCCCTTTACAATGGACCGAAATCTTGGTCTAAATTAAGGTCTGTTCTAACGAGCTTAGACTGTATAAATGTACTGTGCATATTTTCTTAGATCTTACAAATTTGGGAATGGGCACTTAGTGTGATATGGGCAGATGCGCGGTATTCTACGCTAGGCATAAAACAGATGTGTGTCGACTACTTCTGGTTAGATACCGAGCCACGGACACAAAAATGCATAGCCTTTGCTCACAAATGCATTCACATTTAAAAATGAAAAAGAGACTCTTTTGTACCGACAAAAGAATTGTAACAATGTACAGGTGTGGCTGTAAGGACTAATGCATTTGGCACGCCTTGCAAAGTTCGAATTCCAAACATATATACCTAAAATCGGGCATGTAAAGAAACTTTTTCCAGAAGTTTTATGTCTGTCTTTTTACAACTCAATTCTGAGGTAGTGAAATATTGAAAATAATGAAAAATTAAGGGTCGTATATTTGCTATGTCCTATATCAGCCTGTTTGTTGCCTGCACACTGGTTTATGAGCTCGCTCCCAAGTGTGCTTGCTGAACGCAAAATTGCTAAAAACCAAGAGCAGAGGCTGGCAACGATCAAGATAATCAGAATAATTTATACTTTTAAGGGAATATATGAACAGTCACCAACTGGGAGCAAGTTCACATACCAGTGTGCAGATGACAAACATCCGGTATAGGGCATAGGAAATGCACGGCCACCTTTTCTGCTTTATTTTTTTATATTTTACCACCTCTGACTCGAGCTCTGAAGAAAATACACATGAAACTTTTTACGAAACAAAGTTTGCATGCTCAATTTCAGGTATGTGTATGTTGAGAACAAGAATTTTGCAAGGCGTGCCAAACGTGTCAAACCTTACGACCGCACCCTGTAGACAAGGAATGATCCTCAGCGTGTAGGGAATGCGTACCTGAATCTGCTTTCCAGGTGGTTGATGAAGCACTGCACCTTGAGGAAGGAATGTTTGTCCAACGGGAGGAACTGGATGCCCCGGAAGATGTCCAGGATGTCCGCATGCTGCAGGCGTAGCCGCGGAACATGCTGCCGGGATCGTGTGATGCAAGCTCAGTTTCCACTCTCCACACAGTTTCGAGGGCGCTATTTCTTAGTGGTTCTAGAGTCGGCAAGAACGAAGCGAGAAACGTCGTCCTTGCACACGCTCCGCGCTTGTGTCTTGCTGCATACACCACCCGCAATGCGGACACGGGGCTTGTGGAGCCGGCACAAGGTGGAGACATTGACGTCACTGGCGGTCTTTGCCAACTTACAAAGTTTCGATTATCAGCCGTGTACGAGGGTGACAGTTCTTACCTAGTAGTGTCCACTAAGAAGTTTATCAAAATTCCAGATCACGGCTAGACCATAATGAGGATGAGCACCGTTTCTCTAACTACATTATCACTCAAAAATTAAAATTGATAAAGTTAACCAAAACTGTTTAGTAACATCACTCACACCCCCCCCCCCCCCCCCCCCCCCCCCCCCCCCCCCGCTTTTTTTCTCTCTCGAAAATTAAGTGTTGCTGAGAGGTATTGAGATTCTTAACTGACAGATTCACAAAGACAATCGGAAACTAGCCTCACCTTGTCGAAGTAATCCCGGATCACCTCCTTGTTCGACTTGTCCGACAAAAGATCAGAAAGCGACCCAACAAACATCTGAAACGAACATAAGTAGGAGTCACTGCCCCACAACACGAGAAACACTCATTTCCACGTCGACGTCGCTCTGTCTCCAAGTGCGAGCTCAAAGCGAGCACGTGCTATAGCTTTTTGTCACCAACAGAATTGGCCCATTTAGCCGTCGGCTTTGGATCGGAACTTTGTTAGCGTTGTCCGAGGTACCTCTGCAATCTTGTTCAACTTTGGTCACTGGCAGAGTGACAATGGTAGGGCATGTCTCTCGAACGTCCGGCCCCCAGTACGCACTCATTGCCTTCCACCATGCTTCGGCTGCAAGTGCATGCTCAAAGCTGACGAGGCGCTGAAGCATTCTCGAAGGTAGGAAGCTCAAGCTCTAGGCAGGACAACTGAAACTCCTCCCATCCGTCTCATCCTGTCGGCGACCGTAGCACAAAGCAAAACACCGAAGCTAGCTTCGGTGTCCCTTTAAGCAAACATTAAAACAACATTGCGGGGCGTGTTCTATGAAACGAGCACTTACACGAAACGCCTTGTAGACCGCCTCTAGCACCGCCTGGTAAACGTTGTCCTGAATGTCCTCGGAAAGATGTTCAACGTAGAGCTGCCCGTTGCGCGTCTTCTGCTGCGTCGGCAGTCCCACCGTCTGCAAGGAGATGCCACACACCTCTTTGAGCCCATGCTAAGATTCAATGTGGCGTGCGACATTGTTTGCTCTTTGCGCACCTCGGCCGTTCGTTTACCCATCAAATGCACCCGCATGTGTCTGTCTCCCCTCGATCTCAAACAATAGCGGTGCGTGCTTGGCCGCCTCGTGACCGTGCATTCTCTACAAGTTCTCCGAGCTGTCCTTTGATTGGCGTGCCCCTCCTTGCATTCTAATGTGCCAAAGATACGTTCTGGAACACTCGCTTGCCATATGGTACCATACTCCATGTTACGTACTAGTTGCGTGCAGTGCGGGCAAAGGCAACGCCAGGTGAAAAGAGAAAAAGAGAAAGGGCGAGCACTAGGAACATAGAATGGGAGAGGAGGGCAATGGAGGGAAAGGGGAGAAAGGAAGAGCACTAGAAATATTAGTGAGGAAAAGAGGTGTCTCTACTCCTCCCCAGTCCTCCTAGTGCTTTCCCTTTTTCCCCTCGCCTGGCGTTGCCTTCACCTGTACTGCATGCAACTACTACCGTAGAATATTGCGCATCCACCCAATCCACACCAAGTGCCCATTCCCAAATTTGCAAGGTCTGAGAATATATGCACAGTACGTTGATATGCAAAATTAATGACCGGACAAACGTGATAATCTCTCAATCTTGAGTGGGCGCTTGCCCAGCATCTTACGGTAGTGACACAGAGTATAGGCAAGTCATTTTAATTAATCCAGCGGTGGGTAACAATGGCCACATTATTCCACCTCCTGATTAAAATGGCTCCATAAGAAAAAGGATGTCGATACTCTAGAACAGTTCTATAGCAACTCTAGAACGGTTCTACGGCAACTCTAGAAGGCTTCTATGGTGACTCTAGAACGGTTCGATGACAACTCTAGAACGGTTCTATGGCAACTCTAGAAGGCTTGTATGGTGACTCTAGAACGGTTCTATAGCAACTCTAGAACGGTTCTATGGCAACTCTAGAATGGTTCTATGGTAGCATCAAGGAGGTTATGAAAAAAGTTATACGGTAACTGAAACGATTTTATGATAGCATCAATGAGGCTACGAAAAAGAGTGCCAATATTCTAGAATGGCCCTATGGTAAGTCTAGAACAGTTCTATGGTAACTAAAACGGTTCTATGGTAACGTCAACGAGGCTACAAGAAAAGGGTGACATTGCTCTAAAATGGTTCCATGGTAGCATCAAGGAGGCTAAGAAAGAGGTGCCAATACTCTAGAACGGTTCTATCAGAACTCTAGAAGGGTTCTGTGGTAACTACAATGGTTCTATGGTAGCACCAATGAGGCTAAGAAAAAGAGAGCCAATATCCTAGAACGATTCTATAGTAACTCTATAATAGTTTTTTGGTAACTCGATCGGTTCTACCGTAGTGTCAAAGAGGCTACAAGCAATCCAATCGGCACACTCTGACTTTCCTCCCCAGTGTGTGCTAGTGAAAGCCACATTCTACAGGCGCTGAACAACCTTATCCATGGAATCGGTGTCTCACCATGACCATCCAGAAGTTTTCCTCGGGCTGTAAGAAGAACTGCCTCGTCCGTTGGGTGTGGAGCACTTCGCACGGCGTGGATGGCGAAAAAGTCCTGAGAGAAACGTACAGGCAACGGCAGTTAAGAGCAGGCGCCCTGTTTGCAAGTGAGGCCTTTGGGTGCAGCCATCTCGCAACTGGTGGTGTGTGTTGGTCATCTTTTAGTCCAGCTGGTGTGCTCACAGTTGCCAAATCGGTGTCTCAACAGAAAGTTTTGCCCCCCCCCCCCTGGCTAGACTACCTTCTAAATCCTGGCTACTTGCAAAAGTCCCTTAAAGAAGCTGTGCAACAATTTTAAGGTTGAAAGAATTTTCATCTCATACTTTTGACATTGTTTATCTCGTCACAAACGACAGAAAGCACATCTCCTTCCTTCAAAATGTTGCGATTCCGCCGCATAATCGCGAGGCAAAAATTATAACATATCCGGACCTGCAGCTACGAGCGGCGGCCATGAGAACCGTGTGGCATGACTTCAAAGAGGGACTGTAAAAAGTAGCGAGTTGTGCAACAACCTGCTCAATAAAACGTAACTTTTCTATAAATCTTGTTGTTCCAACATAAATATAAATGCATCAAGAACCTGGCATCATCGACAAAATTGTTATCATATGGAGTTTCAGTGGCGCCATCTGTCCGAGGTAAACGAAACTGTCAGCTCTATCTGCTACCGCAAGGAGCCGCCAGAAGCCGGTTGGCTGGACCCGGACGAGCACATTGGCACTTTGGCACTCCTTTCGTTATCCGGTGTCTTAACTTCGAACGCCGCCACGAATATCGCCAATGCCGACCAGGTGCGATCACATGACTGGCGAGCAGGTGAGTTCTCGCCGCTCACTGATGGCGCTAGAGAGAGAGCTTCACCGGAACCCTGCGCGTCCCCCTTTCACGTCACAGCGCATGTGACTCCGAAGATGGTGAAGGAGTTCAGAGGTGCCAAAAACTTTGTAAAAATTAGGACATGCAGGCAAAAGCGGTCCTTTGTTCTTTACTTCGGAAGGGTCGAGACTTCAACTCCACAATTATTTAAGCAAGCACTGAAATTGTTGCACAGCTCCTTTAAAAAGGATACTTCAACAAAATTTGAAATATACCCGTCGTGTTCAGAAATATAGCTCCAGAATATCCGTAAATGACATCTGCACGTTTGTATTTTGAGCCTGATGGCTGTATCTTTTGTTATAAATCGCCCGCTCTGGCAAGCGCTCGGACAGCAGCCAGTGGAGAGCACGTTACATCCAGTGCAATCATGACATAGATTTTCTCGAGACGAGCAAAGCTGTGGCGAGGTTGACGTCGATGAGATGTGCTAGCCGTTCCAGCCACCGAAGCGGACGAAGCACACCAGCGATCGGGCCTCCGCAACTAACCCCAAAGCTGCTTTTGTATAAATTTTGAGTGATGGGTTAATCTTCTATAATCTTGTAGAGGGACAATAGCGACGTCTGGGACACAAAAGAGAGTCCCGGTGGGAGTTCTTCCTTCCCGTCTTCTCTCGTGGTGGCCGGAGAGCTGCCAGACCGACGTCAGGTTCAAGGCATGTATAGTTCTAGCCGACAGGCATTGCCACTACCTGTCAAGGTCCCTAGACAAGCATTACAATTACGAGGCTTTAGCGACATCCATCAGGGGCCCTTTACTAATCGTTTAATTTGTATTAAAATTCCTTTTCGTGTCTTTCTCAACAAGAGATTGGTGTGTCTGATGTGATACAGCTCCCTTGAACACGAACAAACCAAAAAAAGCTACCCCAACTAACTATATTTTTGGATCACTGGCCTTTACCCTTTCAGGTATGCTATTCAGTACAGCGAAATTCAGAATAGTTACTGTGAAATCGGCAAATGAAAATTATGCAAATATGAACATTCAAAGTGCCGTGACGTTAGTGGCAGGCAGGCTTGCCAGTCGAGCGGGCAGTCTAAAAATAGACTATGCCAAGCATTTGTTTCGTGCTAGTGTATGAGTACTACTGGAGCGAGCTTCTAAAGCATTCATTTGAAAGCATGAAAATGCTTGGAATCAGTTGGGAACTAATTCTACAGTCCAAAGAGTGAACCCCTACCTGCCGATGGCGTCACTTCTTCATTGTTGCCAGTAGAAACTTTCAGATTGAAAAACATGGTAAGGACCAAAATAGTAAATTCAATAACTTTGCAAAAAAATAATTACTTTGACCTAATATTTGGGATATTATTTCAGCAATGGTTCTTGGTGTGTTTAGCAAATTTTCAGGCAAATCGGAGACCACGAAGAAAACGCCAGAGTACCCCTTTACCATTTTTTAGATTGAATGCCGAAAAATGGTTCCTCTCAAACAAAACAAGCACCGGGAAAAAAATTATCTTCTTTGCACTTTGTGCCACAGCCCCTGCATATTAATCAATAACTCGCGAGTATGTAGTGTTCACGTTGTAACACACAGCCAACAGTGCAAACACAACATGCATTGAAGTTTTCTGTAGTCAAATTTGGGGGTTTTACGTGCCAAACCTACGACGGGCATCTGGCACGCCCCAGCGGAGGACTGAGGATTAATTTCGACCACCTGGGGATCTTTTGACGTGCAACCGAAAGCTCGGTTACACGGCGCCTTCTCCGCAATAAGCCTCCGTCATATTGCGGGCACCTTGGTCGGGATTCGAATCTGCCACCTGGGGATCCGTAGGCCGGCGCTCTCGCCTCGGAGCCACCGAGGCGGCTAAGTTTTCTGTAGGTCAATTTTGATATAACCTGTCCCTCTAACAACAGACTATCAGCCTTCTGGTGTCTGCTGCTCTGCTGCAGCATGACGAGTACTCACTGCGTGAAGCTGACCAGCGCCTCGCACAGACCAACATTGCGTAGCTTGACATCCTGCTCTGCATTTTCCGGGTAGTAATAAATAATCTTCTTATGTTCCTGCAAGAACAAAACGACTGGTCAGCCATCTCGGTGGAAACGCCGTGACACCTTCTTTAGACTATCCACCAAAAACCCGGTGAAATGAGACAAATTCGTACAGTACATAGCTTGCATTGACGTTACACCAGCTGCCATTGTGCTGGCGTTGCTGCTGAGTGCACATACCTTCTGCAGAAAACATTTCACACCAGCAAATTTGCTCTTTCTTAGAGAGGACAAAAAGGAATGATCACCAGTATGGTGCGATGTCATGTGCAGGCCATGCCCATACATTCCCAAGCAGCACACATGGTCCTCCGGATATCCTCAGGATGTCCTGACTTTCCAGGGATGTCCTATGGATGTGTATACATGCCTTGCACGTGACGTCACATGGCACCGTACCAGCCGCCATTGCTCCGTACCATGTCCTTTTGCCCCAGCCTTCTGCGGCATACATTTGGCGCCATCGAATCTGTTTGTCTCGGCAAGCGTTGCCGAGAAAAACAAATTCGATAATGTGAAATGTACGCTGCAGAAAGTATGGGCTCAGGAGAATGGTACGGAGCAGCGGCGGCTCATGTGACGTCAATGCAAGCCATGTATAGGACATCTGTGCTGCTAGGGTTAGTTTCCGACTTCCGGTAACCTAGTAGTGTATCAAGCGTTGGATGAATGTATGAACCACTAAAAAGCACTGTGTGTGTTTTTGAGGGTTTAATCAATTAAATTAAGTGAACAGTACTAAGGTACAGTTGTCATTATGTGAATTCAAGTCAGTGTTTTTACATTTCCACTGTGGGCACTTAACAAGTAACAGTTAAATCAAAGAACAACATTAATAAGACAAAACTGTGAAAGCCGTAATTCAGCATGTTGGAGGTTAAGAACAGCAGGGCAGGCTCCTCCCACACAGCTCTCTGCATGCCGTGATTGGTTGTTTCCTCCTTTCCACTCGCCTCCTCTCAAACGTTCGCTCCGCTAAAGTGGAAAGGGTGGAAGGCTTCGTGGGAGAAGTTCGTACTGCTCCTCTAACCCTGGTGCTTGGGCAAAATAAAGTATACTTCGTAAAACTTCTAATCGATGTCCTTTCAAACGGTAGCACCGGCACGCAAAATATCCACACACACAACATAAAACAAAAAACAACCTCGAAAGTTTTGATCAGGAGAACTTGCGGTAAAATCTAGAAAAGCGACTCCAGATTTATTACGAGATCGAAACCAATTATAAAAAAAACGAAAAGGAATGAAATTTTAAGCAAAAAGTAGCGCCCAGGAAAGGGCGAAATAGGGTCAAACGGGGTTTAGGAAACAACTGGAAACTACAAAGCAACCGAAGTTATGTAACGAAAGCGAAGGTCAACCTACTTCGTCCTCTTTTTGGCCGTAGGTGGGGTTGTAGATGAAGAAATTTTGCAGGTAAACTTGAGTTTTCGTTGTCATCGTGCGGTAGTACGGTACGTGTGGCGAAAGCGGCTCCGAATTCTGGCATTTAATCACGACTTTTTACACTACCGCTGCACTATGTAGCGGCCCATTACAACTACCACGGAAGCTGACATATTGCCCGCCAAGTTTAGCGAAATTTCGGTGAAGCGCGTTCGATTTCACTCGCAAATCTCAAACTGCCCGAATCTACCTGTGTAGCTATGATCACGTGGTACTAAAATGCTGATATAACATTGTTACGTTTTACAAAAAATCGCTAAAAGTTTTTAAAGTTTTAACAATCCACAAACATAAAAAAGAAGCGCCTTGCTACTGACTGGCGTGGTTTGGAATGCCCGAAATGCCTTTGTTTTAAACAAGCGACGCGACGCGGCGCCAGCATCGTTTTGCGGCCATTTTCCAGTCAGTGAAGTCGTCTGCGTACATCGCCCTCTTGGTTATTAACAGTGCGTGCAGATTTACTGTTTTTCATAAATTTTTAGCGACGAATTTCCTCCGCCAGCCAAACACCATGGCGAAAATGGATCCTGCCACGGACATCGTCCTGCTTGCCGGGAATTCTCACGTGGACCTCGCGCAGAAAATCGCAGAGTAAGTCCGGGAACGTTTCTGCTTCAGGCACGAGTTCTTTCGTGAACTTTGCGCTTGATTTTTGCTTGCCCGCAGAAGAAAGGTGTTTGAGTTTAATTTGAGGATTTGTTGCGAAGTTTGTCGTGGTCACACCGCGTTTAAAAAGCTTGGAAACTTCAAATTTGCGAAGGTCAAGTAGGATTTTGATGATAAGACACAGCAGCGCTGTGTGAGCTCCTCCAAGAGATAAACGTTGTCTGGCGATGTCCGTCGACTTTATTATCTCTAGACCCGCGCGACTGTCTAGCTTTCTTTTATTATTATTTTGGCGGTATTATTACCGGCAATTAATGAATACTGTTTACTTGAATCTCTTCATTGATGTTCCTTCGAGTCTTTGGCGTTTATTTTTCGTCGGGATTCGGCATAAATAAATCGGTGGTTATAAAAGCGATGTTACTCGGGGCGTTTGCTCTCCTTCGTTTAGTTGTCTGAAGCTTTTTGGTCCCATATTTTCTTAAAAATGAGCCTAACCAGTGAATGAGTTGATATGAAAGTTTACTGGGACTGAACTTTAAATAGCTATATTTTTCTACTAACCCTCCGAAATAATATTTGGCATATGCATTTATTGTTGCCCTTGCAATAAATAATGGAGACTGCAATGCCTAGTTATAGAAACTTGTTTGAACTCAGATTTTTTTTCTCTCCACTTTTTTAGATAAAATAGAATTGTTGGCTATCGGCTCGATACTATTTTTGTCTATCCAAATTGGTGGGCTAGAAGGGTATGGATATGGTGGGCTTCTAGCTTACCATATCCAAACTACTAACCTTTGCTTGAAAACTAAACATTCTCAATTTTTCTGTATTGCTTTTGCAGCCGTCTCGGTATTCGGGTTGGCAACTGCACTGTCGTTCACGCTGCAAACAGAGGTTAGTCTTTAATTGTTTTCAAGCATTCAGCTTACACTAATCAGTGTAAGTGCACTCAGTACACGCTTCACCGAGTGTTTGCGTGCTAATTGCATTGACTTGCAGACCCCCTCTCTATACCTTCACTTAAATTATGGGACTGACTTATGTTCATTATACATTGCTAGGATTATATCCCAAGCATTTGTGTAATCTGTTTGTCAAAAGGCTGAGCTTTCTACCAGCATATTCCCGGAAAGGGAGTACCAGACATATTGACAAGTGGACGTTCAAGATTAAAATTGTTTTGGTTACTGTAAGCCACACTGCCTGAGATAGCCCGAGAGGTCTATGACCCCAAAATGAAGAACCCTATGCATATAATGTGTAGCGCTCCAGTACATTATGCATTGGCTTACGTTTGTTTGACCTAAAGGTCAATGGAATATAATAATTTGGACGATTAGCAAGATAAAAAAAAAGGATAAACATGCAAGACAAGGACAACACAACCACAAATAATATAGTAAAGGTGCAGGCGAGCTGGTGAATGTTAACCATGTTGAATAAGCCTGAGACTGGGACAGGACGACGTCTCAAACTCAGCTGAGTTTAAGACGTCGTCCTGTTTCTGTTCCTGAGACTTGTATGTTCATTTCTGCCCCAGTCTCAGGTTTATTCAACATGGTTAACACAACCACGCCCACATAAACATGTCTTGCATGTTTATTCTCTCTTCGGTTGACCTGCACCAGCATGCTCTTTGTCCATCAATATGATTAGCAAAATGGGCATCTAGTGAGACACTGCTAATTGGTAGACTAGTTATTAACTGCTAATTAGAACCCTTCAGTAGGTTCTCTTGAAACTGCAAACATGGACAACATGCAGTACCTATGTTTGCAATTTTGCACGTTAACTACCAGAGCTTGCAGTCATTCTCGTTATTCATTTGTGAATGCGTTAGTTGTGACAGCATGTCGAATGAGCTTGTTAGCTTAGAATGCAAAACATTTTGATTGCTCCATATTTTGTGGGTTTAATGGAATCAAATTGCACCTGGATGAAGCATGAGCAAGCTAAGTTTTTTTTCGCTGAGCCATGCTTTTTCGAACGACACGTTGTGCATGGCCACCAGGCAGTGCATCTGATTTCTATTTCCTTTTAAAGGCCCAGTCCAGTTCAATGCGAGAACACCAATCTTTAGAACTCGTTTATAAAATTTTCCACGTAAATTGTATGTCATGTTTCTGTAAATATATGGCAATACAACTTGCTGTTTGTCATTACGGGGTTTCACAGTGAGTAATGGAGGAAAAACAAATTCAGGCTAGTTAGGTAAAATTAGTTTTTCAAGTGCAGCTGCATTTATACAATGTTGCACCACTCGACTTGCAGAAGTTAGTGAATTTAGAGAGCAGTCTAATAGTCGTAATGCTAGGGTTAATCTGTTCATGTCATTTGGGTTTTTTTTTTTGGTTTTTTTTATCCCACTAAGGACTGATGAAACATTGTGACATTAAGGTACCGTCTGCTTGTCGCCCGTCTCTTTTACCTATGTTTTTCTCCCGTAGTTGAGCCCTTAATGGTGCAAGTCCATGGGAAAAAAAACTGATGGCTCAGTTTTAAGAAAACTTGTGCTTTCTACAGAATGTCTTCTGTTGGTTGAGAAGACAGTCATTAAATGTTTTTCATCATAGCAGTACGTTGTTACAAATCAACTACCAGAAAAAATCATACATTTATGAAATATTTTCTGTGGGAGTGATCTGGGCTAAAGCCCCCCCATTCCGAGAAGGTCCAAGTTTTGGGCAAGACGCCTGCGGAAAGTTCCATGCTGGACCGGCCTTTTACACACTTCCCGCCTCCTCCCCCTTTCCCCGTTCTTCTTCCCACATTGCTTTCTTTGTTTTTGCAGTTGGCGATTACACCAGCTGTGTTGGTAAGCCCGGGCAGAGTGTTGTTCTGCTTCGTAGGCGTGGGGTGCCCGACAGTCTGAACTGCCACTCGCAGTGTTGCCAACTCTCAGATAAGAGCGGGCCTAGAGAACCGCCAGACGCCACCAGGTGTTAGAAATGGTCACCCAATCCAGTTTTTGAACATTAAACACGCTTTAATGCGCCCGTCGCTTCGTTTGGAATCGGGTTGTGGTTTTTCCACTTTACGGGTGTGGAAGTCAGTCTTCGATGTTCCCTAGATTTCCCACAAGTTTGCTCCCTAGGTTCTCCAAAAGCTTGTTCCCTACATTCGCAGAAAGTTAGTTCCCTAAATTTGTCCCCTATATTCCCCTAAAGTTTTAAAAGTAAATGGAGGAGAAAATGAAAGTTTAGACCTTTACATTTTATGTGGCCTTCCAGGGAAATGGACCTGTGTGGCTGGTGGGAACAATGGTTCCCGTTGGCATTGGGGAGGGGAGGGAGACGAGCTGAGAGTGGTGGGAGAGGGTAGAGAGTTATGAGGAAGAGGCCAATGTGGCAGACGGGGAAAGGGAAATGGGGAGGCTGGGGAGTGAGGTCGAAATGTGGCGAGGAGGAGACTGAGTGGAAAAGAAGGCAGAGGGTTTGTGAGAAGGGAGAAGTGATTTAGGGGAGGAAGAAAGGCAGCGTGATCAAGGGGAAACAAGAGGTACCTCCCGTATGCTCGATTTTTAGTTCACTTTGAGGATGGGTGAAAAGAAGTGGGGACCAGAAAGTTAGGTGACACACATTTCCAGATAATCTACTTGTACAAACTTTGCAGAGATGTTTCAATTCCTCGTCTGTTATGCAAGATGTTAGCTGTGCAATTAATATATATGTGAAAACAGTGTGGCACATCGCTAGAGGCAGTTCGACAAAAATGGGCGTGTAGAGTGTAAAATTGACAGGCGGTCGACGGCAGTGCTGAACATTACAAGAACTCCAGGACTTTCATTATTGGCGTCATTTGCACTAGTTTTTTTTTTCTAATTTCTTTTAGATTAAAGGCAGTAGTGTTCGTCGTCATGCTCTTATAAGGCGCATTATCCTTGGCGTAGCTTACCAACTGAACAGCTTCTTACCCTTCCTTGGCCGTCTTCGAGGGCATTGAAGATGCTGAACATTTCTCATTTTATCTGCGGTTGAACTGTGAATGAACCATGAACATGCTGCCTGATTTTCTCAAAGGCCCAGATACCATTTTATATTTTTTTCCCTCAAAATGGAATTTTCTTGTTTAGGCCGATAAATTACTTGGTAAATTAACAACATGCCTGCTTCCCCTCCTGTCGATTTTGCACAGGTTCCAGTACTTGCATGCGCATGCTCTTTTTTTGTTGTGTGTCATTCATTCTGTTTTCCTTTAGATTAGATAGTTTCACATTGTTTTTGCAAGTTGCTTTGGTTGTCTGTTTCACTCTTGTGCATGGTCCTGCCTGGGTACTGCTGTGTTGCATGTCTAGTTCCACATCCAGTTTTCCCGAAATGCATGTAACTATTCTAGTCATTACCTTTATTTTATGAGCAGTTACCGGGGAAGTTGCATCCTTTGTAATTGAGGTTCGGCTAACGAAAGATACCTGCTACGCAGCCATTGCTTGTACTGTTAATCTTTCACAAGCAACATAATTGCGGTCTACCAATCAAAGAATTAATTTCTTAAGTTTGTCCTTGCATTATGCTAATATGCTTTGACATTCCATACTAAGGTAGCGAATTGGGTGAGTTGGTAAACATTATATACGATGAAAATCGCTCACTTGACGAAGACGAAGGGAAGAAACATACGCGGGACAGGACGAAGCTGTACTTGCAACTAAAGTTTTATTAGTGAAGAAGATATAAAGAAAACATAGCCAAAACAGATAATATCAGCAATTACCTACTCATCTGTCAAGCACCACACTAGCTTCGGAGCTGAAACACGTCAAACAATGCTATTCATATTAGCTTGCAAAAAGCAAACCTCTTTATCTTATAGAGCCACTGATGGAACGCTGATGCATAGGTCCCCCAAACTGGAAATAAAAAATGCTTCTATAATCTCCTTGTTTTTTTCTTGTATTTGACCAGGACAGCAACTTTACCGAAATCTGGCACACACTTGCACCTACTGCAATGTGTTGCCAAGTGGCCCCCAACAGTTGCCCCAATGAATAAAAATGCTCTCTTTCTTTCTTTCTTTATATCTTCTTCACTTATAAAACTTTAGTTGCGAGTACAGCTACATCCTGTCGTGTATCTTTCTTCCCTTCGTCTTCGTCGTTTGAGCTGTTTTCATCATGTTGACATTCCATACCAAAGCACTTCGGAGAAGTCTTTTATGGTACCTTTATTTTATTTTCTTGGCACTGGCGAGGGCAACGGCAATTTAGAAACTTAATCGTAATTTTTCCAGATAAAGTGATTTTATTTAAGCAGGCTGTTGTTTCGTACGAGGCAAATAACTGATTAGAGCCAGAATTTGTAACAGCTAGACCATGTTTGTTCACCTCCCATGCTTTACCATGCATCTCCTGAAACTTGTTTTTCATGCGCAACTCAAACGCGAGAATTGAGAAAACTAGAGATTGAATTAAATCTTCCATATCGCTTTTTTTCCTCTAAATATTGACGTCTCAAGGTTTAGTTGCATTGTATCGACTCTAGCTAGCTTGCAGTTTTCTTTCAATCCTTTTTCTAGATGCTTTTTATATGCCTCTTCTATGCTAACAAAGAACTCTTCCTCTTTGATGTCTGCCAAGCAAAAGTCGATGCCACCGCTTTGTCGTCGCCTCTGTTGTGTCGATATTGTAAAGAGTGATGCCCGGTGTGTGTGTGTGTGTGTGTGCGTGCTTGTGTGTGTGTGTAAGCGACTCCAGCGTAAGGTGTCCGAAGTTTCACATTGCGTCGTGCTTCCGCAGAGACGCTCGTCGACATTGGAGAGTCCGTTCGCAGCCGCGACGTCTACATCATCCAGACGGGATCCAAGTGAGTCCCTGTGTTACTCTGCACGTCCGTCTCTATCATGGGACCCCAGAGTACCGTACTCTTCAAGTTCCCAAATTTCCTCTATCATCCCTGCTCCTAAGCGAGGTGTTCTCCCAGTTTAAGCACTATTTTAGCAGACCTAGGCCATCTATGGATGCACGACAGTTTGCCAAACACTTCCTAGCACATGTGTTATCCGTTACAATGTCTGTAAATGCCTGCACCGCTTTATTTCATCAGTGCCGAGTGCACAAACTTGTAGATAGAAACGACTTGGGTGTAGCATGTTTTTTTTAAAGGGGTTAGGACACGAAAGGTAAATTGCTCTTGAAATCAAATGCTCATAGGTTACTTAGTATATGCACCAAGTTTCACAATTTTAGCTCTAGTAATTGCTATAATCAATTTACGAACGTTGATCATTTTTGTCTGGCGACCGGCAACCCAGCTCAAGTTAGTCACACCATGGTGCCCACAAACCACGTGACCATCTTTAGTCGAACGCTCTCCCATTCTAGGCGCCCCCACGCTGGCTTGGGGATTTTGAAGAAATACCTGCATTGTTTAGGCTAATTTAATCTATGTTCGAAGGGTACCTTCTTGTAGTGGTATAATGTTTTCCCTGACAACTTGCAGTGGCATGGTTGCACAATAAATAGCTTAAATCATACTATCTTACCTATAATGGTATCAAGCAATTACGAAAAATAGGTTTGTAAAGACTAATTTGCTACTTGGAGAGATTTTTTTTTTCTTTTCTCTTCCCTAACGCCTGTATTAAAATAGTTTGTGGGCGCAAAGATTGAAACAACATGCCATACCGACGACTATCAACGAAAATTTCCGAGATTTTGAATGGCAGGTATTTCCCACTCGCGACGGTCGAGGTTGAGAGTGCTTCTTTGGTGGTCTCCGCCAGGGACGTGAATAACAGCATCATGGAGCTCCTCATCATGGCGTACTGCTGCAAGACGTCGTGTGCCCGCAAGATTGTCGGGGTGATCCCGTACCTGCCCTACGGGAAGCAGAGCAAGATGCGCAAGCGCGGCTGCATTGTCTCCAAGCTGCTCGCCCAGATGCTCTGCAAGGCTGGTGCGTTGCACCGCCTCCAACCGGTACCACCTAGAAGACCAGGCCTTACTACACCACTGCGTCAGACTAAAGTTATCCGTGTGCCTGCCAGTACGGAACGTGAAGAAACGTTGGAGGGAATCGTTGACAAAGCTAGGAAAATTGCTAGCAAACTTCTCCCAGTGTATTCAAGCGTATCTGAAAGTTTCCTGCAGGATTAATGCTTAGCTGCGCAGTTTCTTGTCAAGCGATGTCTGCAAGAAACTTATCTCGACAAACTTTTTGGGAAGTAACCCGCTGACACTTTTTTCATTGTGCCTACTCCACGCCATTTTCAATCCAGGCCTGACCCACATGATCACGATGGACCTGCACCAGAAAGAGGTGCAGGGGTTCTTCGACATTCCCGTGGACAACCTGCGCGCCTCACCGTTCCTGTTGCAGTATATCACCGAATGCGTGAGTGGCTTTCCATCCTTTTAACATGGTGTGCGTTTTCGGCGAGGTCAAAAGCCGATTCGTACATCTGCGTTTGAGTGGGACTGACCGCATTTCAGCCGCTTAATACGAGAGAATAGGCTGTGGGACACACATCCATTTGAAAGACTTCTATTCTCTTCAGACTCTTTAATCTTCTTTCTTAATCATGAATGAACGAATGAATGGAAAAATGCATTATGTCTCTTTTTACAGTTTACAATTCTTCATTATTTCTTGTTTTGATGCAACATTACCGCTTATCTGAGTAGGCTTATGAACTTTAGTAAGCCTCACACTCCTTTCTTTGCTGGGTACTGTCCAGATTCCAGACTACCGCAACGCAGTCATCGTGGCCCGCAACCCCTCGACCGCAAACAAGGCAACCTCGTACGCCGAACGGCTGCGGCTCGGTGAGTGCCCGGCAGAAATGGCAGTTGATCGGCTGTAGATCGGCCAATGCACGTTCAAGTTTCATTACTGCGGAATGTTCAAGCCCTTTCGCAATTATCTGGTTGCTAACTCTCGAATGCAGGGTTCCTTTTTTTCCCGCATGCCGAATGCAAATTTTGGTTTCTGTTAACTTTGCAGCGTGCTTTGTAGAGAATATTGCAGCGTGCTTTGTAAAGAATATTTATCAAAGACACACCTTTTTGTAATCAAAAAGTTAATTGATGTCTGCGTGCCTCCAACCTAGGCAAATTTCTCCTATTGTACTTATTGAGGCACGGTTTTGCACAGTCACACCTTGACTTCGCACCCCGAGGTCACTCTTTTCAGCGGCCTTACTCGGCCTCTGTTTATTCAGAACTGTAACTTCTTCACTTTCGCAGTCGTCAAATACCGATTTCCTTAGTCATTTCTAGATCTTGGTTTCCGCCGTGAAGCACGAGATTTGCCATTCTGTAATTACAAAGAAGCACGCCGAAACTGAAGTCGCCGAAAGAAACAAAAATTATGTGCACCAAAAAGTGCCACCTCAATATAAAACGTTTTCATCGCTTCATATGTGCCGTCAGATGTAAAAAAAATTGACTACCCAATTAAGAGATAGGGAACTTCCTTAATGCAAATGTTTTAGTTTCTAGTTTGGACACCGAACCTGCGATTGAACCCGAATCCTCATGGAACGTTGTTGAAGCGCTCGTCAGTGTTCAGTGCAGCAGCTACCTTAGTCTGATGCGAGTCAAGAAAAGCGGGACAAGCTAATCCCACGAAGCCCTTCACCCTTTCCACTTTAGCAGAGCGAACGCTGGAAAGGATGCAAGCGGGGAGGGCTACGTCGACAATCGTGGCAAGCAGGGAGCTTCGTCCCGCCATCCTAAACTTGCAACGGGTATTGGTGGCGCACACTTTTCGAAAAAGCTCTATTACGGCAAATCGTGCTCGTGCCTCACTTCCACGAGGTGGGCAAATAATCGTTAAATGTCAGTTACGGAGTTCACGGTAATGGTGCTTATAAAAATACCGTTGAGTGCCTGTGATGCTGTAGAAACGTGTACTGCCGTTTCGCACGGCCCATCTAGACCTGAGGTAACCGCTTTGCGGTTACAAATCGGTGATACGGCGCGCAGTAAGCAAGGACAGAGATAGGCAGTAGACGGGACAGCTTTGCAATCGAGAGTTGGGCAGTTTTGATCCTAGGTACCCGTTTCACCCATATTTTTATGTGCGGTTACCACGCGAGTATGGGACTGGGTATGCGGTACTCGTTGTACGGTACACCGTGTTTCCGCTCTGTCGTCACTTCGGTCCTTCGTTTTTTTTTCGGTTTCACGAAACCAGGCATTGCCGTGATTCACGGGGAGCAGAAGGAGTCCGAGTCGGACATGGTGGACGGACGATACTCGCCGCCCACGGTTCTGTCGTCGTCCAGAACGATGGACGCCGGCCTGGACATCATGCCAGGTGGGCCCACTTTGCCGCCTCGTCTCGGCTCGGCTCTTGGCCGCGGCACAATGCCGCGTGCGAGTCGACTACGGATTGCGACGTGGCTCATCGTGTGGCTCGTTGCTTGATCGGTAAAACCTTGGATTTAAGTAAAGATCTCGGGGCTCTAGCCTCGTCAAACGCAAAGCTGGAGACGGAACTTCACGGAGCGCACCGATTGGACTTTGGTGTCAAAAATGTGGCTGTGGCGCCGTCGTAATAGTCCAATCGGTGCGCTCCATAAACTTGATGAAAATGTGTAATTTTGCATCCTAAGCACCAACACGTGATCCGGTGTCATGCTTTTTGTGGAAGTCACGACTTTGTTGCAAGCGTTTTTCTTTGCTTTTCTGCCATACTTTGTGCCACAATCCAATGATTATATAGCAGAAAGTATGTCAGCTTATTTTACAAGCAGTCGGGGGGCAATATAGCAATTCCTATAATTTTTAATGCTTTCCTACGAAATATTTTATGTCATAATTATTTTACCGATAATCAAAAGTAATTATGGTTATTGTGGATTAGATTTTTATAGTGTACAGATTCTTCGGGAGTCTTGGTTCTGTATTGAACGAGAAGGAATTGTTCTGATGCAGGTCCCAATCCCCACGATGCTTTGATTGAAACGTTGCGTTGTGAAAAATATTGTGTTCAGGAAAACAGCAAAAGCTTTTTAAAATAGTCATGTATATGTGACTTTGAATTTGTATAATTTTTTAAGATCATGTTTATTGCTTCCAGAATTGTAGTTTGTCACCTATCGTTTCGTGTTACCTATAAGCTGTGACTTACTAAGAAATCAATTTTTCGCTCTTCGAGGTTAGGAGCTCCATGTTAGCCTTCTCTGCCATCTCGTTTTCAATGTCGGGCGGACCGCAGCTTCTATTGGGAACGATGTAAGCTTAGCCTTCGATCTTGTTTGCCGTCTGTTTGTCTGTCGTTTCTTCAATGTGCGCACGAGGGAGCGAGCTGCGTAACAAACGACGCCACGCCGATTACCTCTCCTCACCGTCTTTTCGTTGGGTTTGTCTAGTGCCCGCCGCCAAGGAGAAGCCCCCGATCTACGTCGTCGGAGACGTCGGTGGGCGGATTGCCATCATGGTGGTGAGTGGCTTCTTCACTACACATCTCGTTTAACTTCCAGAAGTTGCAGACTTAAGCTGGAGCATCTGCGCCGTGAAAACGTCGTGTTGGTAGAGGCACGGCCTCCAGGCAGGTGTATCTAAGTTATTTTAGAGAGCACCCCCCCAGAAAATTCTGGACTGTAAAACGAAACGATTTTATCTCTTATCCTCTTCTTTTTATCGCACACATGTGTGGGTTGTGGGACCAGGCGCTCACTGGATGCAGTCTTCAGAATGCCTCACAAGAGGAAGGAGTGACTTGTTGAATATGACCATGCTCGACGTACCACAGGGAGGGTGGAAGGAAGAGGGCAACATTGGGCTAGCGTAATAATAGCCCTCGTGGCAGTTAAGTGACGCCGTCACATTTTGACGTAATCTGCAGCGAAGCAGCGCACAAACTCGGCCCCATTTTTATTTATTTCAGTACCCTCGGTATTGTAATACCAATGAAGTTGCGAAAAGTCTCGAATATTGTTTACATGCCTGGAGAAGGGTAAACTGGAAGTCTTCTTAGCGACTGATCCAGCTGTGTGGGTTGACGTGCTGGCGGTTGAATGATCGAACGGCTGATCATGCCGATCGATCGGTGATTCCAAGTAAGGGTGGATGAGAAGCTACAACTGATTTTTTGGGGTACACGGCTGTCTTTCGGTAATGTTTTTCGTGCTCTTGAGGCTTGCCTTTCAAATTCCTTCAGCACTCTTTTTTTATTTTTTTTTATTTGGAGTAGTATGAGGAGTGAAATTCTTTTCGTAAAGCAGTTTGTTTAATGTCATGTATATTTTTTTTAATGTGTGTGTATGTGTATACAAATATAAATTGTGTGTTTCGGTTAGATTATTGAGCAAAATATCTCATGCGTTTGTGTGGATTGGCAAGACCTTAGACCAAAGAACCGAGAAAGAAGGCAGTTAAAAGGGATGCACACGCTGTCTTTGACATGCTTCTCAATAGCAATGGAATTTTTTTTTTTTTTTCTTGAAGGGGGAGTTGTTTGTGAAGAAGGGGGGGGGGGAGGAGTTTTGACCCTAAAAACCTTCCTCTTACTATGTCTCTGTTTGATAAAGATGGTGCATGCGTGTCCTTTTTATGTATTTCTCAGTTCCTTGGTCTCGGGTTTCGGTTATGTTTGAAATTGATCAGTTTGCTCACACTTCCACCCTTCTTTTGTTGTTTACACCGTAGTAGCTGCCAGTACGCATTATTTGTTCTCTTACGACGACACCTGTACTTTCGTACACCCGCCTCAAGCACGAGCTTCCTACTTTTGACAACGCGTCGGCGTCTCATGCATCCGGAGCTCGCGCGCGCATAGCCAAAGCACAGTTGGAGACGCGGAAGTTTTCCCGGAGGCCTAGCGTCCGAAAGACACGCCCCGCCTTTCATATTCTGCCAGTGACTATAGACCATCCCACTAAGGGCTCTCTGGGCTGCACCGTTTTGGTCGACTGCAGCGAGCAAAACGGTGCAGCCCAGAGAGAGAGAATAGACGAGGTAAAAGTGGGAAAGGGCACGCCCCGTTTTTATCGTCTGACCGCTTTCGCTGGGCTCTGCGACCAGAACTGCCTAAATGTGCAGGGTCATTTCTTTCTCTCCTCTCGCCCTAGTAGAATGGTCTATACTAGACAAAACCAACCGGGTTTGCTGCGTTCTTTATTGACGGGCTCGTGGTCGTTTGGCGTCCGCGTCGCAGGACGACATGGTGGACGATGTCCACTCATTTGTGGCGGCGGCTGAGGTCCTCAAGGAGAGGGGAGCTTACAAGATCTATGTGCTGGCCACCCACGGGCTGCTGTCCAGCGATGCACCGCAGCTCATCGAGAACTCCGCCATCGACGAGGTATGGATCGTGTAGCATAGCTCACTATGTTATCCGATGCATAATATGTGCATCAGTAACGCACATCTCTGCAGTGTGTGTCGCTGTGTAATGTGCTCATTGTTTGTTTCACATCTTTGCAACGGCATTGCTGTAATGCATGCTTATCTGCAACGTGCGTGGCTGTAGGATGTGCATTGTTGGGCAGTATATTTACTGCTAGACAGTGCATGCTGCTGTGTGATACACATCTCCAGGTAATGTGTGTCAATATGACATACATCATTGTGTTACATGCACCCTGTGCAACGATGACTGAAATGTGCAGCACCGCATAATGCACATCGTCCACTTGTAGCTCTGTTGTGTGCATGACTATAACTATGCATGTGTAGCAGTGTGTAATGTGCATCATTGTCACATGCAGCACTGTACAACATGCATGACTATGTAATGTGCAATGCTGCATAATGCACTTTGTTGTCACCTACAACTTGGTGTTGTGTGCATGACTATGAACCGTGTAATGTGCATCACTGTGTCACATGTAGCACTGTGCAATGCTCATATCTATGTAACGTGCAGTCGTCACTTGCAGCACTGCGTAATGTGCATAGCTATGCTATGTGCACTGCTGTGTAATGTGCATTTATGGTACTATTATAGACAAACATAAAAAAGATTGTTTCATGGCGCCTTTACGTGCAAGAACTTTAGTCACTGACAGTGTGAAAACGGCAGCAATTTGTCCCACCTCCAGCGAGAGCTTCTTACCTTCGACAATGCTTCAGTGCCTCATGAGCCTTAAGCGTGCACATGCAGCCGAAGCATGGTGGAAGGCAACGAATCTTAATGAGCCAGGGCATGGTGGAAGGATGTTAAAGAGCAAGTACGTCTCGCGGCAACTAACGGGCTGGCGCCGGCGACGCTCGCAGGTGGTGGTCACCAACACGGTGCCGCACGAGGTGCAGAAGATGCAGTGCCACAAGATCAAGACGGTGGACATCAGCGTCCTGCTGTCCGAGGCCATCCGGCGCATTCACAACAAAGAGTCCATGTCGTACCTCTTCAGGAACGTCACCCTGGAGGACTGATTCTTTATACGTCCTTCCGTCAACCGAGAGGGCACGCCCGACGGGATTTCACCCCGAAACAGACTGAGATGCAATTTAGGGGAGTTATTCGCTAAGCTCGCGCTTCACATATGCCAATGTGATCGGAAAAGTTCACTTCAGTTCGTTTGAGTGAACAAAAAGATCATTTTTACTTTGGTAGTTCTTTTTTTCACAGTGTCCCACTTTGACAGTGCAGTGCAGGGTAGGTGTATGCTCCCTTAATTTAAGCACAGATAAAAGGCTGGGGAAAAAAATTGGTCATTCTGATTGACACAAACAACCAAAAAATTGCTTGTCTGTGTAAGGGAGTAACAAAGCAGTTTACTCTGTTGCACGATGGAGCGACATGCTAATTTACTCTTGTGCAAGAGAGTAGGAGCCGATTTACTCTGCTGCACGAAGGATTATCGGTCCCGTTTACTCTGTTGCGTAAGGGAGTAGAGAGTGAATTTACTCTGCTGTGCATGAGAGTAATGATCCAATTCCAACAAATGAAAGAGGCGTATTCTCCCTTTGAGCACAGATAAAGGGGTAGAGAAAACATCTTTGTTGCGTGAGGGAGTAACAAGTCAATTTAGTGCATTGCACTGGAGAGAGTAATGAGCCACTTACTCCTACACTTGGAACATATTTTTATGGGTGCATTTTCACTGTTCTGGAAAGCCCAGCTTTCGGTAGATGCTCCGTTTAAATGCAGTCAGAATCAAGTCTGGCGTTCGTTTCGAGTCTTTTTTGTTTATTGTGATTTTTTTTATTGAGTTGTTTTTGGGTTTGTAATGGCCATACTTTGAGAAGCTTGGAGCTGGAAGATGCTGTTTATGGAGTTATTGGCAACAATCTTCGCATTCTCAAAGCCATTATACAAGCCCAGAAGTTAATAGAATTATGTCATTGTACCGGTATTGTTATGAGGGCATATTTTCTGCTCAGAAACTGACTGTGGAGTTGGATAATAAGTTTCTAAAGTTGGGTTGCATAAGCGATTGTTAGCTAAGTCAGGGTAGGTTTCTGAACGAGTCAGAGTCGGTTTTGGCTTTTTACTGGCGTCACTTCTGAGTGATTCTGGCAATGTTTGAGTCAGCTTAACTTGTACAACTTAAAAGGCATGAGCAACGTGTATTAAGAATTTAATTGCACCCTTCTACAAGATCTCCAACCATTTTTAATAATGCTTACACGTCCCAAGGTGGCTGCTTGTTCCATATACTTGCGCCCAGTATGTTTTGGGTTTATTGTTTTACTGCCATAACATTTCTTTAGTTACATTTTTTTTTTTCTGGGAACTTCTGAAGCTAATGTTTAAATAGCAAAAAAGTTTTTTTTTTTGTCGTTTTAACATTTTTTTATCGTTCTCTTTGAAGTGCCATCTTATTCTTTTTTATGAAAGTATGCATAATTGCCTTTTTTACTTAGGTCAAAGCATGAGATTTGAAATGCATTAAGTTCTGGCAACGTCGATTGTATTCCCAAGTTTACTGGCAGGTTCGGTTGAGCGGTCAAGCGCCCCAGGGGCGCTCCCAAATGACCAGGCAAACTTCTCTATGACGTACTGCGACTAGTCAGTCATTTCGGAAGTTTTCGTTAAGTTTGTATTCTGCACGCGCTTTCAGACGTGGCACACGTGCAATGGGAGGAAATAAAAGGAAGCTGCGTGTATGTTGGTGCACTTCAAAGAAATAATGGCTTTTGTAAAAGGCAGTCTTCTGTTGATATATATCTGCTGGCTAGTTTAGATATTTGTTACTTTCATTAAGCTGCAATTTTAGTGCGGCAGTTTTTGTTTTGGTAAAGCCATATTTTGTATACAAGGTGTGAAATGAACTTGTCAGTGATTTGTTTTCAGTCTATTCCTGAGTACCTCAGTTTCTTGTATTATTATAAAATATTCATTTCAGCTATTGCAGCTACATTTCTTCCTATCCATACCCAAAAAAAGTCATTTATTAAGAAAATATTTGTGTTGACACTGTAACTAAACAACTTTATTACTGTAACTCAATAAAACAACTTTGTACACAGCATACAATTTTGTACTTCAACATGTATGTATTCATTAAGAATTGGTAGCTTGACATTGATATTTTACAGTTATGTGCAAACAGTGGATTTTGAGTTCGAAGCAAAGTGATTTTGGCAGAATATTTTCGAATAGAATATTGAATAGTTTTTCCGAGCCATTCGCCACTGTGCCATGCTTAATTTAAGCAAGATGCCCAGCTATACCTAATCGAGGAGATATGTAAAATTTCTTGCTATCTGAAAAAAATTAGACATGCTGGCACCATCTAAAGTGAAGCTTTCTGAACTTTCAAACACATTCAAGTTGGACTTTTTGGCATCAAATGTCGATTAAAAAAACTATCCTTTGATAACAAACTGATACATGCAGTTAGTTTCTGAAGTTTCTGTACTGACATTTTGTGAGAAATGCAGCTGTGAGCTTACTTTCTGCATTTTCATGGCCTTTTGTTATAAAAAGCTGCATTATCTTCAACCCAATGCATGCAAAAATCTTTTTCTTCACAGATTTGTTTGATTAAAAAATGGGATAATTTATGCAATTTCTTTTGATAGCTGCATGACGTGGGTGTTATACTGTACATTCTACCAAAAGAACTGGCTATTATCATCACTGCTTCTAAACAATTATTTTCCTTGGGGGTACACATCGCGACACTGTTAGTGCGAACACGACATTGGCGCATTTTCGCATTTTACTTCTAAATAGTATTAGCGAGCATGAAATTTTATCGCTTAATAGAACAAAATGTCCTCTTTACGTAACAATAACTTGGATGACATCCCTTCGTTTCAAAGAGAAAAACTGGAAAAACCGGAAATCGCTTGGTCGCACTAACAGTGTCGCACTCTGTAGTGATTATTTGATGTACTTCTACATAATTCTTCGAAGGATTAACTTATAAACATAAACTTTGTATGTCATCCTCCTTCCTAGCTATGAATATGCCCTGCAAATTTTATATAAGACTGACAGTTAAAATGTTTGCTTTCCTGAGTAGTGTCTTTCCTTAAATACACCAGGCACGTGCTTGCACCGGCCCGCTTTGAAAGTGTGTTTTCCTCCAGAGCATCTGACTGATATTCATATTTTTCAAAAGGGTTGATTGCGGTGGGTTAGCTCCGTTGCGCACGCTTCTTACCGAGCACCAGAGCACTGCAGGAAAGCAGCACCCGCAGAAGCATGACCTGTGGGTGTTGCTTTTCCGCAGCACACCCGTGCTCGGTAAGAAGCATCCCCAACGGGACTAACCCACCGCAATCAACACTTTGAAAAATATTGATCCCGCAGTTCACCTCGAAGCAAACATAGAATAACATGTTATTCGAAACTTGTTAAATATTTGCATGACCCTAATATTTTATATGCAGATTTTTAAATGGTCGGAAATACAAACCCAGATGTACAAAGTAATTAACAAAAAAAGTAGGATAAAATTCTTGTTGTTCAAAGCCCAATGATATGCATTGCAAAGTTGACTCAAATATCAAGGAACTAAATGTTTTTGCATCACACTTTCTTTTGCAGTAAAAAGTGTTATGGACTAAAACCGCCTTTAATTTGAACACGTACACACAAAAACAAACAAAGTATAAAAATGCACAAAGTCCTTAATTGTACACATTTTTTTTCCCGGAACGTGCTAAGAGGTAAACACTAGCACGGTTCCATGCTTCATTCCCACGGCGACCACACAATGTTTGGAGAAGTCTGCCACTGCGACAGACGACGCTTTCTTGGATCGCATTTCGGCTACCGGATTTCCGCCGAGCAAGTTCCATATCCGGATTCCCAAATCTGGGCTGATGCATGTCATGTAGTGGCCTTGAATCTGAGGCTGCTGATGTCTGCTGTGGTAAAAGGAAATGCAAAAGTGTGTTAGTAGCTGGTTTGATGTTCAAGTATATCTTAAAAACCTAAACAGCCAAAAACAAATCCAAAATTGGGGAACGAAATTCGTGCCCCTCCAAGTTAAAAGATTCAGCAGTTATGCTGTTGGCGAGATCAAATGGCACATATGATGGCTTGCTCTAAATAAAAAGAAATCTGCGAAATGTCGCCCATAAAGGCTTTAAAAATAGTGGCTTTCAAAGGACAACTATTCAAGAAATTTCACCAGTTCTGTTGTTGCAAGATCAAATGGCATATTTAATGGCTTACTCTCAACAAAGATGAGTCACTTCGAAAGACAATCGTCTGAAGTATTTCTATTTCAATATATTTCTGCTGCGCTTGTACCCGCTTTCCCACAGTACAGCAGTGCACCGCTGTGCTGCTGCCTTGCGGGGCAACCCCCCAGAACACGGCTTTGCTGCAGCGCACGCGTGCACGTCCGTGCAGCCAGCACAAATTCTGCACGGTTGCAACATTTGATGGCTACAACAACGATTTTTTTAATGCTTCAGTACGGGAACGCGCTATTTTTGTGCTACTGCTGCAAAATACCGAAAAGTGGCCAGTCGTGCTGGGACTTGCCTTTGTATTGCTGGGTTGGAGCCGCGACGCCATGCGTAGGAGTTGACAAGCTGGGATTTGCAGGTGAAGGGGTTGGCGACGAGCAAATGACAAGCTTCTTCATCAGTCGTGCGCATCAACAGGAACAAGAGCCCCTTGACAAAAAAAAACAAAACAAATGTAGAATGTTTTACATCCTCTAATAAAACCGAATACAGGTCCATTGCTATCTCCTATCATATCCATTTCCTCTATTTACATGATGGAGAACTAGTGATGATTACTAGTTCTTTACCCCCTTAGTAGTAATGAGGTTTCAATGTCGTTTCTCATCATCTCACAACCGGTTGGAATTTCGAGTAAAGAACCTTCCAAGCGTGGTCGCAAAATGAAATCAGAAAACGTCATCATCTTGTAAACAAATTATGTAGGGGAATAAAAAAACAAACTATTCTACAGATAAGTGGGGAGAGAGAACCTGCAACGTAGTTTGAGCTGTGCTGAATGTGTCGCCTATTCTGAGCTTGTTGCATGCAGAATACGTACGACGGTCGGCGCGACGTAGTGTCGCGGGATTTCGCATCACGTGGCTTTATGGTGTTGTGCCGCTCGATGCGACATGGTCACGGGGTTTGTATCGTGACCATCCTTTTGTCACATTACCGCTGTCTCGTCGACATCATCGCGCGATCACAGTCTCGCTAACGACGTCGTATGACCAAAACAACTGCGTCAAACGTAAATTACGAGCATGCCCATAAAGCTAACTCGAGTGTTCCAGCGTGTCCCACTCGAAACATATGTCCAGGCAAATTTGGGAGAACCATAAAAGCAACACTCACAGAGTCTGAGGAAGCCCAGCAAATGTGGTGCAGGTCGGTGAAGTAGTTTGGCTCGAGAATCATCTTCTTCACAAGAACCTTTTCTTCGTAGTCCCTAAATGGCCAAAGAAAAATACATCACATTGGCAGAAGGTAGCATATCAGACGTTTCACTTGGTACCTAAAGTGCGCCATAACCGGCAACTGCACATGAAAACTATTAATGGAACTTCACAGAAGCAAAGGGACACCTTTATAGGGTCAACATGCCGTCACAGATCAAAGACGACAAACGTCCTTGAGACAACAACATGTTTTTTTTTTTTTTTTTTTTGCATGTTGCACGCAATGATGCGGAACCTTGTTTTTTTGTGTTTGTTCTAGGATTGCTGTTCCTTTGTCAACCGATGCTTGGGCCATCAGTTCATTGTTTGCTGTGCCATGCCCGGTTTTTCTTTCGTGAAATTTTTGTCGACAAGATTTTGATACACCTGATGTCCGTCCTGAAAATATTTCCAAGACGAGCAATAAGTATATTCACTGTGCCCATGGGGGTTTGTCGCATGACAAGAAAGTCTTTCGACTTAACCGATATTCCGAAACGGCAGAGTTTCAGTTAACAGGGGATCACCCTACATCAGGGTGTAAGATAGACAGGTGGGGAAACGGCCCATAGAAGCCTACCGCAGCGCCGTGACCGGATTGTGTACTCGTCTGCTTGCAGGTACCCTCGATTTGCGACAGATGGCGCTGCGGCGAGAGGAAAAAAATTCGAATCGGATTTGCATGGAACTCTATGGGAGAGTGCGCAAAATAAACAGAGAGCACGACAGTCTTCCATCGAAAATGCACGAGAAATTATCTCCGTCAGTTTAACTGGTCGCCACCGGTCGCCCACCCGGCGAGAGAGTTCGCGGTGCTCCACATAGATGGCGCCACAGAAAAAGAGAAAACCGAGGGGGACACAATTTGGTCGCTCATTTGGCTCTCGTTTCCCCACCTGTCTATCTTACACCCTGCCCTACATGTTGTTGATTATGCGTCCTTTTGTACAGATTGTCCTCCGAAGTATGTGTTACACATCTCGTGACACTTTCCGTAGTGTTCCGTCAAGCTTTCCTCCGAAATGACGGCGATCGGCGAGGGCAGGAGTTTCAGCCGAACGCCGAATCAGCACTCGTGTGGCGCGCTCCCGTTAGCGAAGCACACTAGCAGAAGTGGCTAGGTGCCAGCCACATGGCACATTCTGCGTTAAAAGTATGATAAAGGTGAGCACACGTAACTCACCAGACGTAGAAAACGTTGCCCTGGTTTCCCAGCAGCGCGCTGGGAAGTGCGTCGACGCCGACGAGAGTGTGAAGGGTGCCGGACGTCCAGCCGACGACTTCGGTTTCGTCTCCGACTTCGCCGCAGACGTACCGCAGCCGGTGAACACGTATCCGAGAGGTACCGCTGCTGGTCCGTGATGCCGTCGCGACGCAGTCGTCGCTCAGCTTCGTCAGGAGGTAGATCCGCAGGCGTCCTTTTGGATCCCTGCTGAAACAAGCCGCGCAAAGGAAGGTGTAGGGGAAAAATGAGGAAGCAGAACCACCAGAGACCCAAGACGCGAAGGAAGAAAAAGTCGTCGCGGGCACGGTGTTTATGGCAAACAAGCGTTGCGGGACCCTCTCGGAAGCCAAAGGCCCTTCCCCGTCGGTAAGGGAGCGCTTGATAGTAGGCGCGCACGCACTCTTCAACACTGAATTTGCACCCATATCTCCATCGGTGATGTTTTCTTCTGGTTGCAGAATGGAACACTTCAAGAGAGTTGAAAAAATGCTATATCTTGCGACCGAATTGCACCTACGGCAGCTTCCAATAGCATTCCCGGCGCCATTTCCTGAGAATACGAAGGGGACCCCCAGTAAAGCACCACCTACATCGCAGAGTCCTGGATGCGAGAGTAGGAGCAAACATTCTTTGGTCGCCCTCGCGGCAGAGTGTCTTCGCCTATCGTCCTTTCTTACATTGTGGGTGGAAGGCATGGAGAATGTGCTGGAGGCTGGGCATTCGAAAGACACGGCCTGCCGTTCTCAATCTTTCAGTGACCATACAAGCGTAACCTAGCGAATTCCAGTCGTATACTGCGAGCAAAACCTATAGGAGTTCCCTCGATGTAAGCGGTATTATTTATAACTTTAGCTTTGGACTGCAGTCCACTGCGGCGATGCTACGGCCCGTACGAGTTTTAGCCCGACAAGCTTTACAAGAACCGAACATTATGAGACGAGCGGCCCGGGAAAGTAGGAAATGCGACGACGCACGTGCAATACTCGCTGCCACAGGTCAGCATCAGCTGCGAACTCTGGCAGGCGTCGAGATCCCACTGGACGCAGACCAGCTGTGACGGAGCTCCGGAGTTGAGGTAGACCAGAAACGAGGATCCCTCGTACCGCAGGAAGCAGTGCTGGTCTTCTATCTTGTACTGAAACAGTTGCACGGACAAAATTTGATTTCGCGCGGGACGTTCTGTACCAAACCGTAGGTCTTGCGGCAGTACACAGATCAGGAGTGTTCTGGGAACACCCGATGGGTGACACCAGGGCCGTAACCAGGGGGGGGGATAGGGGGTTCTGACCCCCCCCCGAAATTTTTTTCTGGGTACGGCCCTGGTCGGTGCACTTGCAGCCAGCCGATTTTAATCTCCACCTCTGCGCACGCGCAGTGGCACCGGTCGGCTACCGGGTACCAAACCGGGACCGGTTCTTCGGTTTGCTATAACTCTCCATTATATGCCACCGATGCACATGATTCATAGGCGAAAATAAGACAAAATGGCCGCCGTTGTCCTCGAAAACCCCCCCCGAAATTTTTTTCTGGGTACGGCCCTGGGTGACACCACTGTGTTATCTAGACAAAAGCTGCTGAAAGCGATCGTAGTCAAACACAGATGTACGGAACAACTTTAACTGCCAAGGGGTGGAGGAGGAATGCTACTTTATTTTTTCGGCAACAGTGACACGCGAATTCCAAGCTGTTTTCCGCTTCGGACGACGTTCGTAGCCATACCTGCAAGCTGGTCACTGCAAGGCTTGGATGCCACACACCGGCAAAGTGCCACATGTAGATGGCATGGGCTTGCACGGCAACCAGGACACGGGGGTTGCCATCCAGAAAGCAGACGTCCGTCACAGGCTCCTCCAAAGGACACTGCCGAAAAAATAAGGGCGAAAAGATTGAACCGGGTCTGCAAGAATTGTTAGAGTCAATGAAATGCGTCCTTTCGGCAAGCTAGCGTGCCCAGTGCACCGCTCTTCTTGGGAGAGTGGTGCTGTCCACTTGACAGTTTACATGAATTAGAAATTCTGTCTTTACGTGTATGCAAGGCGTCCGCCTCGTATCGTACATAAAGAGAACATCTGTCACAAGAAAATGCATGAGGGAAATATGAAAGACATTTCCGTTTGAATGTGATTGACTGTGCCATGACAGTATGTTACCGCTCACAATGAGAGGACACCCTAACACCACCTATCTGGTAGTCCTGGAAGACTCTAGATGTTTTTTGGCACATCATTCTTTCGTCGTGAGCTCAAAATAATCCTGACAATGTTTTGAACGACCATTTCTTATAGACAGCGCATATATTTGACCCCTCAAATACTGCAAAACGTTTGTCTGGTTTTACACAGATCTGTTCCAGGGCTACCTGATATATAGCACCAGTGAACCAGTTTGTTTAAAGCCTCTTGATGTGTCTGTTTCACGAATAGCGTCAAATGCCTTGCACAGCCCTTGGAAGCTAATGGCGGCGCAGCACTGAAACGAGTGAACCCTGGAAGTCAATGGCGGCGGAGCACTCGCTCGTTATGTCTCGCAAGTTCGCACAACGATGGTTGTTGGTTCTTAAGACAACGCAAAGTGTGAATTTTATCGAGGAGCTTTAAGTCTGTTCCCTCATCGTAAGCAGTCTCAAGCGGGTGCAAAGCGATCACTCTCAAACCCAAATGTATGAATGAGACTTTAGGATGACCTGCAAAGGCAAGTGCACGATTACCTTGAGCGTGCAGAAGAACATGAGTGGGTTCTGATCCCCGATGACTCCCCTCGGGCTGCAGGGTGTATGGCAATCCGTGGAACAGAAGCTTTCACATCCGTTCTCTTCGTCTGACTCTCGCATCGACACGAGCTCTTCCGCGCCGTTCACGTCGTCTTCTGTGTCGTCCGCCTCCCTCGCTTCGTCTGTTAACCTCGCCAAAGCTTCAGCGGCAGACAATACTCTCTCTTCCTCTGCGCCGCTGTCGCCTTCCGAACATCTGCCGCCTCCGCTGACGGATGTCCTTCCAAAGCCGTCTTGCGAACCGTCCTCCACATCTAAACACTGGACGACGCTGTTGACGAGTTCTTTCAACTGGTCATCGGACTCAAGTTTGCTGTAGCTCGGAACAAATGGATCACTTGCGTTGAAACTTTCTCTACGCCCCAAAACACTTGGCTGAGCATCAACACATTGTTTCTCGAGTCTCGTAGCTTTGGGTTTGCACGAGTTCCGGAAATCAGCGAAAATCCAGTTGGCGTGATTTTCCACGACGCCATCCGCGAAACGGGGACAACGCTCAACTTGGTCCTCTAGCGCCGGTGTTATGACCGGCAATGTCAAAGCAGCCTTTTTGCCGACACATTCCGTCTTCACGATGCATTTTGAGCCGTGGAGTAACGGTGGAACAAACTGATCTGTAGCGATCGGAAGGGATGAGTCTGTCTTGTCACTGTCGCTCTGAGCTGCAGGTGTGGGGCCATGACCTTCGGCGCAAGTTACAACTTCCTTCTTCACCTCGACTAGGCTTGGATTTGAACTCGACAGCAAGATTGGCTCTGCGTTGACAGCAGTGACAGTGCTTATGCTATTGGCAGACCGGCTGCAGCCACCGCCTAGCTTTCTACACGCATTTTCAGCCACCGATCTGTCGTCTGCTATGCCTGACATAGTCACATCCTGCAACCGCCGAAGTGACCTCGAAGCAGGGTTGCCCTGACCCGCCTTGCACTCTACGACTTCGACCTTGAAACTCTGACGCGGAGAAACCCGCAGATCGGCATTAAATTGTCGAGAGCACGCTTCTTGATCCTCTGTTGATGGTGATGCCGATCTGACTTTCATCGAACTCCTCCGCCGTCGACGCCGTACCCTACAACCGAGGTCTACTTTTGGTGCTGCCGCCACCGGAGATTGGCTGCTAGCATCGGCTTCGTCGCCAGAGGAGCTCTTCCGCTCGAACATCGGAGAAAGGAGCTCGGCCTGACACGATTCAAAGGGCAAGACTGGAAAAGTAGACGCCTTCTGTACGAGCTTGCTGAACGCATTCAATATCATCCTAGATTCCTTTGTCGCAACAAAGGCAGGGCTTTGAAGGGACTTCCGTTTCCTCAAGTTGTATTCGCCAGTGGCGCTCACACAAGGTGTGCTATCCAGCCCCGCGCTCCGTCGCTTCTTTTTCTTTAACGGGGACCGGACTTTGGAAGCATCCGTCAAAGCTTGATCTGTCGCGTCGACGAGTCGTTCTCGAGTAGCTCTGTCGGAGTCTGTCAGCGAATCGCTGTATAGCAGACGACCAATCCTCTCAATCTCGCTCTGTTGCTCCGGTCTTGCCACGTCGCGCGAGCTTGCTCGAGAAGCATCCCGACTAGCCGGTTTGGGTGAAAGTGTCGTTTTTGGCAGTACGGGGTTCGGTTCACAGTCCGGAGTGTTGGTGGAGGAGGTTAGTTTACTATCCGATAGATGTGTCGCTTCCGATGTGGAGGAATCTTCGTGGTGCCTCGGCAACCGGGGTTCACCGTTTCTCGTATTTTCAACGGGGCCATTGGCGCCTGATGTTGCCGATGATATCGTCACCACGGTTTCGGTTCTGGAGCCGGAGGCCTCGCAGATCTCGCGCTGCGAGAGTGTGGCGACTTCTTGCAGCACAGGCGACGTGTCGTCTGCGACGCTCGAATGTGATTCGTCGCTCGGTTTGCTGCTCACGCTACTTCGGTGAGACGAAAGGCGCTTGAGTTTCTGTTGGCCACAAAGACAGAAAGTGAAATTAAACAACAACGCGATCAAAGCCCCGCAAAGTGAGAGATCTTTGAGAGAGTCCTCACCTGTAGCTTACGCTCTTTCCTTGCGATATCCTTACGGATCTGTTCGAGCTTTTTGAGAATCTGCAGACGCGTAAAAACGGGACACGGATCAGACAGGTCGCGCGCCTGTCAAGGGGTCGTCAGGCGTAGAAAGCCCGAAACAAGAGCACTTACCTCCGATTGCTTGGCTTCCGATGCCATAACGAAGTCTCGGAAAGATCCGTTAGTTGTCATACAAAGACGCCGAAGACAAACCGGGCATAAACGGCGACATTTGACACAACATCGCCTGAAACACGCAATCAAATGGTGCGCGCCGCCATTACGCCTACTACTGCCATCTGCTGCCGTGTCTGCTAAAGCCGTAAAACCACAGATTTTAATATAACAATGCTACCGAGAACAACGACCACAGTCTATCGTTATAAAATATATTAGCTACCAAAAATTAAACTTAGTTTGGTTTAGCTTCAAAGTAACATTAACTTACTCTCGTGACCAGCGTGCTCCCGTGCGCTTGATAAGTCGAGTGCGTTACCAAGGGAGCCCCCTCGCATGGACGCACGGAGGGTGTTGTAGGTTTTTGTTTCCAGTGTTTTTTCGTCGATTCGGAGCCCACAAAAACAAGTTTTGTTCTCTTCATGATCAGCTGAGAAACAAATTATGAGGTAAGTAGCCTCTCTTGGCGCCCAATATCGCGTTATTTTCCCCAAAGAAGCGTCGAAAAACGAGTGAGCGCTTCGAAGAACCCCTCTTTCGGATTGCCGCAGCTGATCGGAAGATTTTTTTGTTTTATACACGTATATATTTTTTTTATAATTTCGCTTCGCTCTTGTTTCTTTTTGTTTGGAAGGTTAGGTAGAACGCTACAGTCCTTGTAGCGCCGTCCTTAGTTAATGAATTTTGCGGCGTTTAGAGGAAATATTTCGCGAGATTTCGATATCCGCGGAACGCAAGCTCGACCAAAGTCAACTTTTTTTGTTTTTCTTTTTTTTCCGGGATGAAGGTTGCGGTTGCAGTGTTTTGACGGCATTGCAGAGGTGTTTCTATTTCCAAGCTCGCGTGCGCTGTCAACCTCTACTCCAACGACCAACCAACTGCCCTGCGTTCTGTCGCTTATTGAGCAAATATAAACCGCTGCGATCATAGTTGCGTTTTTATCTCCGTGCGAGGCAAAATTTTTTTTTCTTTTTTTATTTAAGGTTTTTTATATATATATTTTATATTTGTGAAGCTCTCGCGGATGAAAAAAAAATTCGACAATATGCGCCAAGAAACGCTGCGAGCCCAAAATTAACATCTTCGTTAAATCGTCACTAACGTACGACATCACATGTTACATAGCTTGGCGAGTCCCTCAAATTTTATTTCCCCAACATCGCACCCCGCGCGCGCGAATAACGTTAAGCGATGTATAAATATAGAAATATATTAAATGCTAAGTCTCACCACCATTCATTCTTCTCTTTAACTCGATTACGCTTCATTGCTAGGATTTTTTTCTTCCTCGGCGTTGTGCAATCTTCTTTTCCAGTATGACCCTTTTTATTGCCAAGGTTTGCATCAACCATAAACGATACGCCAAACGCGTCGAAGTGACTTGCGACAGGCACCATCACCGGCTATGTCATAATCAAACCCCCCATCATCTTCTAGCTCTTCCAAGGTCACCTGCCTCTGACAGTTTGCCGTCGAAATGTGCCGTGGGAAGGATCGCTGGGTGTGTGTAATTACGTGCACATGATTGCCAGCCCACATTTAGATTCCGAGTGATGGAACGGTCTAGCAGTGACCCTACCATTAAGATGTCTAGCATGGGGAAAAGCAGTACATCGACGTTGGGGTGTATAAATAGCAGCCGGTTGAACTCGTTTTGTGTTGGGCAGACTACTGTATGTAAGTAGTTGTATGTCTGTAATTGTGTTTCGTGTATGTTTAGACTGGGGGAAGTTCTACCGGCACCATTGGGTGTCTGGTGTCTGTGTCGTAGATGAGAAATTTAGTGAATGCAGAACCACTGCCAGCCTGCAGGGTGTTTAACGTGCACCACGCAGTAAAGATACACTACCCCACACCAGTATATGATGCTTATCCACATGAACTGGGAAGGGGACTGAGGCCAGGATCTCTTGGTTCTGCAATGCGCTAACACAAGTGGCCACCGATTTCATGTTGCATGTCTGATTCTATATGCACATAGGGATATGAAGCAGCGTTACACTAGTTGTAAAATTATTATTTTTTTTTTATGGTGAGTTGGGATTTTTTTAATGGTAGATTTGTAGAGGCACTGTGGGGCCCTTTGGTATAGGGGTGGAAGGCCTGATTATGGCACATAGTTTATTGAGCAAACGGAGAAGTTGCATGTCAGAAATGTTTGGGATATAGCAGCCCTTGTATATACACTTTTGGATGGGCCAGCCAATTGGTCGTGTTTTCTACCCACAGTTCTTTCGAGGCATACAAATCTTGACACCTTCTGCTATTTGCATGACTTTACTGGTATTCTCTCTATTGCACTGCAGTGTTATAATGGCATTGATGATGAGATAATTGATATTTTTATCTTATAGTTATCAGTTATATTGTAGTAAGATCATGTGCATTTGTGCAATTGCATGGTGCCGAATTACTCATAATGTGTTCGCTGATTAGAATAACTGGGTTTGTTTACTGTTTTTTTTTTGTTCTATATCAATTGACGTTTTGCAAGGTCTTATGTGTATACGGTGGGTACCCCACCCAAACATTTTATCGAATGCCATTTCATTGAACATTGTTTCATCGAATGAGGACATTTCATCGAACGCCGATTCATCAAACCCCGTTTCATTGAATCGCTTGGCGCCGTCTCGTGGAACTTCCCTTTATTAAATTTTGGAGTATTACACAGTACTTTTAACATAGTTTACTATCGATTTTGCAATAGTTTTGACGCCGCTCTCGAATCACCAGAAATAGAATTACTACCCCGGTCAGTTTTTTTTTTTTTACCCAAATGTTGGATACTGAATTATAGAAGGTAGCTTTAATATCAAAACCTGAATGGTTACGCGACTTATTCTTTTCTGATGAGGTAAGCGGCTGTTCTTCATTACACGCTTTTTCCCACTTCATCCCCCTCTTTGTTCATGTGTCAAAGTCACATTCTGAAAAGGGAATCGGCTATTCTCCGCAGTATTTTCATTTTATCCTAGGATAGTAGCTTCTTTTTAAGAATGCACGCTGTATGTCGAAATTCCGGCAGGTCCACGGTTGTGTCGGTTACAATAAGTTAACAAAAAGGGGAGACAGGTCTTTTATTTATTTTTTTCGTATTATGCAACATGGAGACATACCACTGCTTCAAGGACACATCTTCGTCTTGAAACAGAAGACGTCTCTGCAATGATGAAGATAGGCGCTTGAACGGACGTATGTTCACAGATTTAAAAAGTCGTCAGTGTTCCTGGCTTTTATTGGCCACATTGATAACAAAAGTCATATCATTTACTAGGAAAAAGAGTAGAAATAGGAAAGAAAAAAAAAAGGTTCTTTTACAGATTTATAAGTTGAGAAATTATAATCACTAGCATAACACTGCTATCCTCCTGGTGCTAAAAGAAAATTCCTTCTTATATGTAGAATCCCTTCTACTCCAGTAGGCGGCATTAAAAAAAAAATGGCTTCGATGAAATGGTGTTCTATGAAACGGCGTTCGATGAGACGGCTTTAATGAAACGGTGTTTGATGAAATATCCGGGCCCAGTGTACGGTAGCATATCGGAACCGTGGCAAAATGAAAGAGACGCCATGCAATTTCTCAGAAACTGACTTTTCCTCTTCGTTTGAGGGCAGCGACGGTACTTGCGTAACTTGTTACAAGGTGTGTAGCAACGGGGAAAGTCTGTAGCTGTAGTTGCTGGCTTTAAGTAAACAGCCTGGTCAATTATTGGTTCTGGGGTTTTTGTGTTTTTTCTTTGGATGGTAGGAGTGTGTAAGGTGCATAGAGGGAATGAGAGGGTATGTATACTCTACCAGCTAAGTATGTCTCTTTGCTACAGACACACAAAGCTGCAAACCACTTTGGTTAGTTGAAGCTTCCGTCTGAAACTATAGGGCTTATAGTCTCTTACAACGTATTAACTATAAAGGAGGCTTCGCCCCCGAATTTGCAGAGGAAAATGATGTGCCACTCTGTACGAACGTGCCATTTTTCCGGCATCGCAGAAATTGAACAGCACCCATCAATGTGCCTCCTTTTTTTTTTCTTTTTTTAAGATTGTTGTTTACAGAAATGAAGGTCTGCTTCATGCCTAACATGCTTCTGCAAGTTAAACATTGCATTTTTTTACTTTTTTATTTTTTTTGGCGGGCAGTGATGTGTTTTTGTGGGTGGAATTTCGTTTCCTGTGGGCAGAGCATTTTTTTTTTGCGGTAAGGTGGCAATGCAGGTGAGTTGGTTCATGACTAAATCGAGAAAAGAGTGCAACAAACACAAAGACGAGTAGAAGAAAGTGGACGGGACGAGCGCTGACTGACAGGTGAAAGTTTATTGAAGAAACACACAAAAACCAGCCGCAGCAACCACATATCAAAAAATGTAAAAACAAGACACTTAACAGCAACAAGATAAAAGCCTCAAGGCAACATGCGGGAATGACAAGCTAAAAGACACAGGATTAGCACAACAACCTATGAGCCACTGAAATCTAAGAAACTTGATTTCCTTTGAGTGCAGATAAACAGACGCCTGGGGGGGACTTGCGCAGCTATCTTTGCCTGCTTTGATTATTTTAAAGGCCTCGAGTAATTTGCTATTTGTCATTAAAATCAACATCAGGGGGCACTTACCTTAATTTTACACGTTGCGGATTGTCGTTGTCGCCCTAACTTTAATAACATTAAAATCATTGGCAGGGGAATGATAAGACTGCACGCAAATTGCTTGAGGCCTAGCTTTGAAATAATCAGAGCAGGCATAGATAGCTGTGTCAAAAGATTGTCAAATGTAAAACCTAAAAAAAAAAAGGTGTAATCGGCGAATTTGTGCCATAAACATAAGTGAAAACGAGCGTTGGTAAAGCGGCAGCGGGTGTCGAGGTGTCGGTGCAACAGCTGACCAGCGCAGGAGTTTCCGTGTGAGTCGCTGTGCTCCCTGTTTGGTACGCTCCATATCTCTAACATTCGGCCTAGAATGTTTGAGCGTCGGAACACTCTGAACACTGACTCGGCAAGGTCGTGTCGGCCCTCTTATCTATTGCCCTCGGTACCTCAAACGTTTTGGGTAAAAGTAAACGCGAATCTACTAGAAGTGCGGAGTAGGCTTCCTTCTCGGCCATTCACGCGGC